TTGTTTGCTTTGTTACGTTTCTATTGGTTCATTACATTGATGTAATGCCATTTTTCCCTTAATGCATTCCATTAAATCTATAATGCTGTTCGCGATCGCATGTTGATCTTACTTAGCTGAACCGACTTCGAGATGTGTTATAGCTCAGTGGAAGAGCTTCTGCCTATGGACCGGGAGAACCAGGTTCAAATCCCAGCCCCGACATTATTATTATTTTTTTTTTTGTCTTTTTAATTTTTTTTATTTTCTAAATGGTAATTAAATTCATTTTGAAACATAAAATTTAATTTCAACAAATTATAGCAGATTGAAGTTCACCTTCACTTCTGAATGCTATAATTTGCCATAAGGGGAAATGCTATAATTTTTTTTTTTGATGATAGTGGTGAAACTTTCTTTAACCTTTTTTTTGGTATGTTCTTATTTCATACATTTGTACATGCACAACACCTCAACTGAGTGCTTTTACCATGTCTTTGTGCTAGAAAAGTCGCCATAATTGTTTTTGGAAATTTAAGATAGTATTGGTTATTCAGCCGTTTTTGATTGGTTTTAGCCGAGGATACAAAAGGGGGTAACTGAGGAGACATTTTGATCATTTTATCTTAACCTCGAAGCTGTTCACCTGCAAAGTTATTTGAAAGTTTGAAAAGAAAAGTTTATTTTTTTTGCATTTTTGCAAGTCATAACCAAAAATTTTTAATCAAAAAAAAAAAACTTTGAAGTTTTCCTAATTGTTTGTAAAACAGCCAGCCAGTTTTCAAGCGTGGTTGTAATTGTTGGTGAAATAATTTTCTTTTGCCTGTTTCCACGATTGTTGGAATAAATTCTTGCCGGAGCAAGGAACTCTAAAAAAACTTGCAATACTGAAACTTAACTGGTGGCCCAGATACATCTTTTTATTGGATTCTTTGGAGTTCCTGTTTTTTTTACTTGGCAGCAGTACCATATATGCTCCATGTCGTTGTTTTCACTTGGTAAGATCTTCTATAGGAGATGTCTCTCTTTTGCCATAGTTTTAATTTTGTCATTCCTCTTTGGTTTAAGGATTCCCCCTTATTTCCCTGCCTTGATACACCGATGCCGTCCACAAGCTGTTATGTCTGCCAAACTTCTTCAACAACTTTCAGTGTTTAGTGGTTTCGTAGGCTTTAAAGCGAACGGTAGTTTTTTTGGAAATCTTATAATTATTAATATTTGAGTGCGGGTATACCAAGTGAAGAAAAAAAAACCAAAAATTTAAATATTACGCCATATTGGTAGTTTATCCCGTCAAAATTATTATTAATACCCATATATTTTTTATTGGTTGCATTAGTTTTCTAAAAAAAAAAGAAAGAAAAAAATGTAAAAAAATCAGAAACATTCGGCATTGAAACGAAAGTGAGTGTTTGTGTGGTTAACCAAATTGAAGGCCAGAGAACAAAATAAGAAAAGTACAGATCAAAGTGAAGATCATTCTCTGTTAAAAGTTCATATGATAAGTGTTTTGTTTGAGAAGAGAGAACAGATCCAACGACTGTTAAATTGGTTAATTTGCGGGAGTTTGCTGTTGTAAATATCAACCAACCCATTCTGGAAGGCCTTTCAACGTGGGAGCTCCGACATATTCAAAGTAAGTTAACTCTCTTTAACTTCCATCAAACCACCATCAACCAACCAATCGATCTATTGTACAGAGAGTAAGCGGGTGAACCGTTATTGCTCTCACGTTCCACAAAATATTTGCATTGATATTTTTAAATTTGCAAATATTTTGCTGATATTATAAAATGATCATAAAACTTTTTACATGGCTTTAAAATTACTTGTTTTGCAATTAAAATATTTCTAAAGGATACGGATGTTGATGATTGTTTGAATTTTACTCGCTATGCAAAAAAATGTACAAGTGTTGGATGTGTTAATGTTAAGTATTGGGTTAACAGGCAGCTCGCTGTTGCGAACAATTGGCGCTGTTAACTATGTTGTTGAGAGAGCATAGTTTGAAAAGCACTGCTTTAATGTATTCTTTGCTAATGATTTTCTTTCTTATTTTAAATTAATTTTATTTTGTTTTGCTTTCAATAACAAATCCAACATTGTATATTTATTGAAACCCATTTGCTTTACATATGAATTTATTTTTGGGGAATGATCTTTAAATAATTTAACTTGAAATGAAAATATAAAAAAATCTCCGATTGCAATAATTTGTGCTTGTGTTGATGATGGCTGTAAAAGGTCAATGTACTTAACAGCTGTTCACATGAAGGAAACAGAAACACACAAACATATACAGAACTGAATAAAGATTCTTTTTTTTCAATTTAACATCTAACGTTCAAGCCCGAATTTTGTTTCTGAATTTTGAAATTCTACTTTTTTTTGAAAAATTTAAAAATTTTAACTTATGTTTTTCAATAATATAATTTTATAGATATACATTTAGTATAATTTGATACGTAATTATTTAGCTATTTTTAGTTTTTTTTCTGATTTTTTTGTGGAAATTATTAGTAATTGGTCAAGTATTTGATATCGGTGATAAATATGATAGTTTCAAAAATATTGAATTTTAAAATCTTTATAAATTTAGGATTTTCAATATTTATCTGAATTGTTTCTTTTTGAGTAGTTATAATGAATTTTATTTTCAATAAATTTTTGGTATTGTTAACCATGTGCTAAACGAATGTTCTATGTTTAATTTGAAACAGGGGTCAGAAAAGTAACATAGGGTAAACAAATATGGGTTTGCCATATGTGTTAAACAATTTATTTTTGTTTTTTTGGATTTTCATGGCAAACAGGATGGGAGGGCTAACCATGCATCTACAGCTAAGCATGGCATTATCAAATTATGAAGGAAATAGACTCCTCTTTTCGATATTTTGCTTTGGACTATAGATATCCTTCTTCATATATCTCTTTCCTTCTTGTACTTCTTTCTATCATTTATGCACGCATTATAATTAAATAGACTGGTAGTTGGCATAATTTCTTGATGAATTTAGGCAAGATCCCACCCCAACGACGAGCAATAAGGCTGGTGAACTATGCGTGCCAGGCCATATGATTCATCTGAAAATATCTACAGGAAAATTGTAATCGATTTAACCCATGCATGCTACACTTCTTGATTTTACCATGCGTAGATACTTCAAACATTAAAATAAATTGTTGCAAAAATCGTCAGGCTTAATCCCATTATTGTTGTTTTTATAAAATAAAATAATTTATAAAAACAACAATAATGGGATTAAGCTTGACGATTTTTGCAACAACAAAATACTACGGTATCCCAAACAAACATGCCAACACTGTTATTAAAATAAATTTTATTTGAAAAATAATGACAAGGTTGAGTACACCAGTTGTAATATTCGTTGTAGCAATTGACTCTACTTTTATTGTTTTGCCATGAAAGCGTCCAAGAAGAAACATTGTTGAAATTGGCCTTCACTTTCAATGGGTACTTAGTAAAAAAACGTAAATTCTTGACAAATACTGTTTTTGGTGTGGCTCACGTTGCCAAAATAATTTCGATTTGGTACGGCATGAACTTCCAATTTGATTTTTTTGCGGTCAATGCAATGCTATGTAACAACGGCCCAAAAGTGAACTCGGTTTTTGACTTAAGATATTTAAACAAAAAACTATCTATAGCACCCTACTTTCGATGGCATCGGTCAACTAACAATCTTTAGCACCCTACAATTTGATGATATCGGTTAATTCATTTTTAGAACCCTTTTTCAAACAATCCGTAAACAGTTATTTTAAACGCCCGAGTTCTTTCTAATGCGCATCTTACGAGGACAAAAAGAACAAAGAAAGAAAAGTCAACAGTGTATAATCAGGCATGTCACAGAAGTTTTACGAAATCGATTTATTTCACCTTTTCCAAATCGTTACGATTTGCTTTTGCTTCTTCAGCACTCGTACGTTTTGACTAATCCGGAAAAAAATCATTTCACATTTTTGAAATAAAAATATGGTAACTCCATGAAAAAAAAAAGTCGTAAAAAATTATTGACAATTAAAAAAGGAGTTTAAATTGTTTTTTATAATATAAACACCAAAAGTAAAAATGCCAGGGGCTTCAATACTTGCTGTAATGGATGAAGAAATAAATCAGCGGTCTACTGAAAAAATTCGTCGCCGGACATTGAGGAACGCATCAGATCCTTTATCTCACTCAAATGCAGAGTAAGGATCCACCAGCAATGAGTTATTTTCAAATTTATTTTAATAATAATTTATTTCTACAGGTTTATAACTTATTATCGGCTAAATAAAGAAGCTTTTGTTTTAATTTTCTCCCCACCTCAAACGTTCCAATATACCGGCTATTATCCAGCATGCAACAGCGCTTAGGTTTTTGGCTACGGGTGCATTTCAAGGAGTTATAGGTAGAGATGTGGAGCTAAGCCTTGGGAGAAGTAAAGTTTCTACAATTATGTGGAGAGTTATTAATGCAATTGAAGCTGAAATTTGTTCACATTGGATCAAATTAAGAATGTCTTCCGAAGAAAAAAGAAAGTCGAAACCAAACAATTAATTGTTTTTTTTTTTGTTTTTCCCCTTTCTTTCCTGTCAGTTGTACATTTCTACACCTTCTTCTTCAACACATATGGCAATAATTCAACAATACAAGTCTGCCGTTCATTTCTGCATATTTTTTTGCGTTTTCATCATGGATTAGAAAAATAATAGATTTTTTGTAAAATAAATTCCAAAAACATGTTCATTCTAAGAGAATTTGGTTAATACAATATTTTCTGTTAAATGTATGTGTCTTCTGTTTATTTTTTACGTTAAAATCACTAAACATTTCAATTTCACCCTGCTTTTTGAAAGTGATATCAAAACGCAAAATTTTTGCGTTTTCCGTTTTTTAGAGAAGCTAAAATCGTTTTCGTTTTCACTCTTGAACGATTTTACATTCTGTGACATGCCTGTATATTATAAAAAACAATTTAAACTCCTTTTTTAATTGTCAATAATTTTTTACGACTTTTTTTTTTCATGGAGTTACCATATTTTTATTTCAAAAATGTGAAATGATTTTTTTCCGGATTAGTCAAAACGTACGAGTGCTGAAGAAGCAAAAGCAAATCGTAACGATTTGGAAAAGGTGAAATAAATCGATTTCGTAAAACTTCTGTGACATGCCTGATAAACACCAAAAGTAAAAATGCCAGGGGCTTCAATACTTGCTGTAATGGATGAAGAAATAAATCAGCGGTCTACTGAAAAAATTCGTCGCCGGACATTGAGGAACGCATCAGATCCTTTATCTCACTCAAATGCAGAGTAAGGATCCACCAGCAATGAGTTATTTTCAAATTTATTTTAATAATAATTTATTTCTACAGGTTTATAACTTATTATCGGCTAAATAAAGAAGCTTTTGTTTTAATTTTCTCCCCACCTCAAACGTTCCAATATACCGGCTATTATCCAGCATGCAACAGCGCTTAGGTTTTTGGCTACGGGTGCATTTCAAGGAGTTATAGGTAGAGATGTGGAGCTAAGCCTTGGGAGAAGTAAAGTTTCTACAATTATGTGGAGAGTTATTAATGCAATTGAAGCTGAAATTTGTTCACATTGGATCAAATTAAGAATGTCTTCCGAAGAAAAAAGAAAGTCGAAACCAAACAATTAATTGTTTTTTTTTTTGTTTTTCCCCTTTCTTTCCTGTCAGTTGTACATTTCTACACCTTCTTCTTCAACACATATGGCAATAATTCAACAATACAAGTCTGCCGTTCATTTCTGCATATTTTTTTGCGTTTTCATCATGGATTAGAAAAATAATAGATTTTTTGTAAAATAAATTCCAAAAACATGTTCATTCTAAGAGAATTTGGTTAATACAATATTTTCTGTTAAATGTATGTGTCTTCTGTTTATTTTTTACGTTAAAATCACTAAACATTTCAATTTCACCCTGCTTTTTGAAAGTGATATCAAAACGCAAAATTTTTGCGTTTTCCGTTTTTTAGAGAAGCTAAAATCGTTTTCGTTTTCACTCTTGAACGATTTTACATTCTGTGACATGCCTGAATATCTAATTTACACTTATTTCATTAACATAAAAGAGGGTGTTGACAACTTGGCAAAAATACTCCCATACCTCGATTTTCAAGAGTGTAAGTTCTTTTTTCTAAGTACCTATTGTAACAAATTTAAACAAGTATTTCAAGTGATCTAGAGTAAATGTTCTCATCAGGTGAAGATTCCTGCCAGGCCCTTTATCATTAAAAACAATTATAACAGTACTTCAAGCCCAACCAGCAATTAAACAAATCAAACAAAGAGCCCCTCGCGAGTCATTTCCAAATGTAAGCCCTCGGAATGTCGCAGTTTAACATTTTACTTGCTTACATTCTTCTCAAGACAACGATGCCCCATTTATGAGCTTATAGTTTCACCCACGCCTCAAATGTCCTTTGAAAAGTGACTGTGGGTAATGAAATTGACACTAGATTTCAGTACAAGCTATGAAACAAAATTCAACTAGTCCACCTACAAAATCACTGTGCTAGAGCGGACTATAGGTACCAAACGGCAATGTTTTCAAACAGACAGGCAACTTTCTTAACTTGACTGGTAATGACAACTATATATACTCGCATTACCAGTAAGATCAAGAATAATGCATTTTTTCGAAAATAAAAAATGTAAAAGAGTTCTAAATATAGACCTTTTATTTTTTACCCATTTGGATCTTGGTAGTGTGGTAATTAGTTACCTTTTTGGCATCTCCATGTTAAAATAAGTCATTAAAATGTTGTTTGTTAGTAGTTACTGGTGCCGGCTTGGTATTAACATTAATAAATAAACGTTTTATTCCCCCCTCCCCTGTTCTCTCACAGGACAGCATATCAATATGTCGAACCATTCATTAGGCGCGCTGCTTGATCAAATATCAAAAGCGGAAAACCAATGTGCTACACCAAGTGATGAAGATTCTTATAGCTATTTGGAAGAAAATACATCAAATACCTCAGAGAACATTTCCGAAGATAATGTTGCAATACTAACCACTAATGGGCTGGACTCCATTGAAATGAAAGAGCATGATGATACGTTACTTCAAGGATATAATCAATCCCCACCGTCTTATTCCCCAGCATTCCTTAAGAAAATGAGGGAAAAGGATATGAAGTGTCATAAAAGGGCTATAGATTTTCTTAGTGGGTTTATTGATAAGGACCCAAACCTACACACTGAGAAGGAAATCAAGCTTATAAAACGAAGTCTTAAGTTCATGCGAAAATTTAAAAGAATTTATGTTGAAGAACCCAAGTGCAGCTTTCCGATTGAAAGAATTTTACTGCCAACAACAAATCCATGGAAGGTAAAGGCAACAAAAGAATGTAAAAATAAAAAGACAAATGATTGCAATACAATAAACACAGTTAGTGGAGCTGGAAGAGAAACAAGAGATGTTGGTGAGGAAATTGTAAATACACCAGATCATCAGGCTGCCTTCAGCACAGCTTCAGACATGCCAACAACTTATTGCAAGACCATAGAAACAACAACTGGGAATACAATTGAATTTGGACTATGTGAGAATTTTTCCAGAAATATTCAGAGGAATGAAGATGGTAGGATCGAACGAAAAGATTCCCCAGTCGACAATAGAATAGCAATAATTGATAGATCTGATTCCGCAGGGATAATCAGCCACTATAATTGGCTGATAGTTGAGGGTCGACTGAGGGATATCATTTTAAACGATACTGGTGTGCATAACAAACAATTCGGCAGTGCATATTCCTACAAGGGAGTTAAAGTTATTACCTGTGCAAACAAGGAATCTCTTGATTTTCTTGTCCAAACAGTAAGTAATCTTGATAATCTATGGGATGGAAGTCAACTATTCGCAGTTTCAATTACTGACATTCCATATACGGCGACATTGACTGCATGGATTCCTCCCCCACAAATAGACGCAGAGCACATCCTGAAATTACTCGAAAAACAAAATCCAAATTTGCAAACCGGTAACTGGAAAGTCATTAAATCGAATTCAAGCTCTGAGAAAGGAGGACAAACAATTCATGTTATCGCGAACAAAGAAGGAGAGTCATATCTAAAGCAATGTAATGGAAAGTTAAATTTTGGTTTGGGAAGCATTCGTTTCCGACTGGAGAAGAAAAAATAAAATTATTTTATTTCTAAATATGTGAAGTGAATTTATTCTTTTATTTTTTTTTTTTTTAATTATTAAAATCGTGCACAAAACTTAATTTCTAAATTAGATATATCCTAATGTTACTTAAAAAATTTTGGAATAAAGTTGTTTAAGTTCTCTGTGTAAACCTTTCTCAATCCATTCTCTCATTTTCTAAAGTTTTGAGTATAAAACTAACATGCAGTGCAATTTTGAAATTTTTGAATAAAATGCATGTATATAGATTAATAATGGCTTTTATTCAAATATGAAAATGTTATTTAAAAGTAATGATAGGGCTAGTACATCAGATAAGGCTTGCAATATTCGTTTTAGCAAATGGGTCTACCTAGGTTTTGCCATGAAAGCGACCAATAAGCACTTCCAATTTGATTTTTGTGGTCAAACGTGAGTTCGGTTTTGCCTTAAGATCTTTAAACAGAAAACTATCTATAATACCCTATTTTCAATGGCATCGGCAATTAACAATCAACAGCACCCTTCTTCTCATGCTATCGGTTAATTCACTTTTAGATCCATTTTTCAAACAACCCGTAAACAGATGTTTTAAAAGCCCAAGTTTTTCTAATGTCCATCTTACGAGAACAAAAAGAACCCAAATTTATCCGTGAATAATATCTAATTTTCACTTATTTCATAAACATAATAGAGAGTGTTTCAAACTTGGCAATCCTCTATTTTTAAGAATATAAGCCTTTTTACTAAGTACCTATTTTTTGCGAATTATCAGAGAAAAATATTAAATGCAAAGACACACTTATTGCATGAACTTGTATGGCCCCCTCTAATATAACACCAACACCACGATATGGCAACGCTGTAGTCTGCAGTCCCTGCAATCTGCCGGCGAACGAATCGTACGTAGTCGTTCCAATCATATTGGCAAAAAATGTCCATTAATTGTTTGCGTTTTGCTCGGTTTGCACATCGTCTGCCCGCTGCTCGCCGCATATTTGCCGTACAGCAACAGCAAGAACAATTGCTCTTTAAATCGAGAAACTTCGCTTGTTTATCAGCTGAAGCTGTCAAAAACTTTAATTATAACACAAGAACTGCTGTCGGACCGGCTAATTTAAGTAATTGTACAAGTAAACGATCATTTTTTGGCAAGAAAAAAATGTCGCTGAAAAGTTTCGCAGAACACGAAGTTGTGCCCGATGTCATAAATGTGGCACCCAGCGAATTAGTGAGCGTTAAGTATGATAGCGGTGTAGAGGTTAAGGAAGGCAATGTTTTGACACCGACCCAGGTGAAAGATCAACCCAAACTTAGCTGGAATGCTGATCCCAATGCCTTCTACACGGTTTGCATGACCGATCCAGATGCACCCAGCCGCAAGGAGGCCACATACCGCGAATGGCATCACTGGTTGGTTGGTAATGTACCTGGCAGCGACATTAGTGCCGGTGAAGTTTTGTCTGCCTACATCGGTTCGGGACCACCACAAGGAACCGGTTTGCATCGTTATATTTTCCTGATTTACAAACAAGAAGGCAAGTTGACATTCGACGAAAAACGCCTACCCAACAATAGTGGAGATGGTCGTGGCTGCTTTAAGATTGCCTCATTTGCTGAGAAATACAAGTTGGGCAACCCTGTAGCCGGTAATTTCTACCAAGCTGAATGGGATGATTATGTGCCCAAATTGTACGAGCAATTGGGAGCTTAAGTGGTTGGTGTCTCTGAAGAAGAGGTTTAATAAAAAGATGAAGAAATTTATTACATAATCTTAATGAAACTGAGTTTCATCAAAGGAATTATATGCATATTTACAGATACGAAACTGAAAAATGAAATACATTGCCTAAAACAAATAAAATTTGATTGAAGTGAAATTGTGTTGATGTTTGTTTTTGTCTTAGTTGCACCGCGTTCCCGAGATGGTAGAAGGCACCGGTGCAGGCATATTCTGTCAAAATCTAATCATTTGAAGCTCATATATATAAGCTTAATGAGCCGTATGGCTGAGGGTATAAAAAATATATTTGCCTTGCCTCTGCATACATTGTTTTAGGAGCTTGACGATGTCAAGATAGGTGAACGAGTGTGAGGTACCAACTCAACTAAGGTCTCTTCATTCTATTGACTAAACTTTAGAAAAACCGTTTTTTAAGTTACTAACATAGTCTTCGGATAGGTCGTTTCTGCCAGATGGATGCCGGAAGTATATGGAAATATTTGAAGATTTTTGTACTTTTCTGTCCTCAGATCAGCTCATTGTCGAGGGCTTGGTATTGGTTCTTGGTTTTTTTATTAATTGCTTTTGCTGAAAATTGTTACGCTTTGGTAATACTACTAAATCAAGTTCCAATAATGATCCTCAAGAGATATTTATTATAATTAATTGGAATTAACAATATAATAATTTAATTTTTTAATTTTTTTAAATATACTACTGAGCTGGTATGACTGGAATACGAATTTGCAGCATCTAGGGTGGAGAGAACCAAATATTAATAGAGTAATTAATTAAAGAGGCACGTTTTTACTAACCTTATTCGTTTTATCAAATATTGCCCTTGCCCTGTCTTGGTTCAAGCGATAGTTTACAAATTTATCAAAGAGATAGCCATGTTTCATGGATTCCAGCAAGATACGATCTTCTCCAATGTCCAATGTCAATTCTTGGGAGGAGATCTGAAAAAGATTTGAAGACATTATTAAATATCTATTTTGGGCATCAGCAATTTTCATGAAATAAAAAGGCCTAGTTTTTGAGAGCCATTGAGTCGAAGAATATGTGATAATTTTCCAACATCCCTCTTTACTGTAACTTCATTTTTTATTTCATGAAATTTATGGTATTCCTATCTCCAAAACTTACACATTTGGGTAGATAAAATTCAGCTTGCACCTCTTCCACCTCTTCGTTTTTGATGCGTGCCCTCAGCTTATAATCCGGTACGGTAGATGCCGCCTGGGCAATTTCCTGTTTAATGCGATTCGACTGTTGCTGCTTCAGTTCTTCGGATTTCTTTTTCAAATTTTGCAATTCTTTGGCATCGATTTCTTGTACCAATGTTTTGGAGTTTTCCAAAGATTTTAGCTTATTTAAATCTTCGTTTGTTGGATTTTTGTATGAACTCAAAACCGTTTTAACATCCGTATTACGTACCCGATGTGACAACAGTGTACCAATAAATTTACGCTTAGTTAATATTATGGCTTTATCGACTTTGATTTGTACATTATATTTGTCGCTTAGGGCCTCGGCAATCAAAACCAAAAAGAAATCTCTGAACAGCGCCGACTTTTCAATTTTGGCAAAAAATTTCGGATTGATGGCGAAATCGACGGCATCAACTGGATTATCGGATTTGTCTTTGGTGACCCTGGGTTCGGAAATGCTCATGGGTATACGATAAGAACTGGGTTCATCGGAATTTAGGATTTCTGTTAGCTGGGCTTCGGAAATATCTTCTGGCGGTGGTATCTCCTCAGCCTGGCAGACATTGATGAAATATTTCTCATTGGTGTTGACTTTGAAGGTTTTAATACAGAATCCTTTAAGATAAAAAAGAGGGATGACAACTTTAATATTTGCGTAAAATTTGAGACGCCGAAAAAACAACGACTGTTGAATTCTTCGAAAGAGCTTTTTCAAGGGCATTTGAGACTACCAGCAGGAAAGCGTCGAGTACAACTCAACGGGAATGCTTTTGCTAAGAAGAATGCCGCAATTCGCACCTTAAATTGGCGATTTGTGACATCCTTGGAGTTTTCTTTTACGACAACAGTTACCATGCAACCAATATCAGGGCCCAAAACAAAAAATGTTCTGGATATTTCTCTTCTTACCGGGTGTTGGTTGTACAACTTTATATTCACGTGGTGGGGCAACCGATTTCGATTTTCCAGATCCAGGAGAACTTTTAGTGCCTCCGCTGGCACCAAAAAACTGATTCAAATTTTCTTCCAAGTCGCTCTAAAGAAATGAATTCCCCATTAATTATTTATGTCTATTCGAAGCTATTTCTTCCGTTTACCTTTACAAATCGTAAATTATTTTCCAAAATGCTATTATCAGCATCCAGAAAATTGCGTCGCTGTTCCATTTTCAAGAAAATATGTGGACAATGAGGGACAACGGAGTTGAAGTCTTCACTTATTGTTCCAAAACGTAATTCAACAGAAAAGCGGTCCAAACGTAGAGCTGTCAAACTATCGAAAACACTATCGATAGTATCGATAGTTTATTTTTTTTTTAGCGAATATCGATAGTTTTTAATCACTATCGATAGTATCGGCAAAATGTCATCACTTACGCATATGTTGTGACGCTGCGACTTTTTGGGTAAGAGAAATAAACAACAGCTAAGTTATAATTATATTTAAGTTGACGGTTCTACAAATCATGGAGAAGTTCTATGACTATGAAAAAACTACCTAATTCTTCACACAAAATTTCCTGAGCGAACACTCATATTTGTACGTTGTTCAAATCAAATCACTCTCAGAACAACGAAAAAATATGTCCCATCCCTAACAAATGAGAGCATTTATCGAAAAAATAAATTATGACATTTAAAAATTAATAATAGAAAAATTTAATGAAATTTTAAAAATTTTTGGGAAGACTGAAAATTATGAATGAAAACTACAATGTTGAATGGCGTATGTACATTCAAACGAAAGTAAATTTTGTTTTATCTCTCATTCGAGTTACGCATTTGGTCCACGAGTTAAAATTTCTACAGAAAACTGCAAACAAAATAGTCAATATTTTCAAAATGTGTCTATCGGCAAAAAAAAAAATGTTTGACAAGTGTCTCTTCAGCGGAATTTAAAAATGGAAAAACACAAAAATATGTTCATTTACACAAAAAGTTGAAAACGTGAATGAAAATTGTAAAATTAATGACATAATAAATCTTTGGGAGAAAAACAATAATTTCTTATATTCATATTAGTGAGAATTTCATGTATTTTCGTATACATTCCCTTTAAAATCAACAAACAATTTTTTTGAAAAAAGGAATTTTTTTACTATGAATTACGAATCGTGCCGTATGAACGGGTTAATTCGTGTACCTAATTCTGAGAGCGAACAACGTTGTTCGGTTTCCAATGGAAACATGCTATTAACATTTTATTAACAACGTATATAGCAGACTCAGCCAGCAAAGAAAATGTAATTGATATTGGCAATATCAACAGTGGTAGTGAATCTGATATAGGATTTGAAAAAATAAGAACAAGAAAGATGTCATCAGAAGCATGGGCCTTTTTTGAAAAAACGAAAGATGGATTTAAAAATATTTATTTTTAATAGAACGTATTTTAATTTTAAATGTAATTTTATGGATTCGCCTTAAAGCACTATATATAGTTCATTCAATGATCTCATGAATTTACTAAGTCATTGCTCTTAGCGCTTTTGTTTTTCCTTTTTATATTCTTGAATAATACTGATTTGTAGATAATCAGTAAACATGATTTAGTCATATTGCCTTTCCGGCCACAATAACCGGTCCTATACCGTTGCGTTATATGACTAAGTGTTGGTGATTGTAACATCTGAAAGAATGTTACGAATTCGAATCTGTCCATCTGTTTCTTGTATGTCTTACAAAATATCCCTCCCCATATTAGGCTCGCCTCTATACAAAATATCCCTCCCAATATTAGTCTCCGAGGCTCGAAAAACTCCATATGACTTTAGATACTAGTCAAATTCGTCATGCTGCACTAACCAGGCGAGAAATGCAATATTCAGTCCAATTATAAATAAAAATTCCTAATGAAAAAAATTATTTGAAAAATTGAGTTGGAAAATTGGAAATTGAATTGGTGAATTGTTCCTGAGGATTTTTTAAAGGGAGAAATTTTCATTCATAATTGCGCTGGTTACATATCCGATACTATCGATAGTTTTACAACAAACTATCGAAACTATCGAATGGGACGAATATCGATCCAAACGAGCACACAACAAAGTGAAATGATTTTGTTTGGCGGCGGCAATTTATCCAGCCAAACGACGGCGGCGTGCTGGGCTTTTTACGTACTCTGTACAATACTCAATTCATAGAGAGTTGCGAAAAAGGAAGAGGCTACAGAAAGCATTAGCTGTTTGTTTGCCCAATATCGTCCAATGACAGTTTGCAAAATGTATGTGTTCACTAAATGAACCAAGGGACGAGTGTCAAGAAGAAGACGTTTACATCCTTTACAAATTTAAATACATTTGCCAATAAAATTTTCCCAAAAGAAATGAATAGCGCCTCAAAATATGCAACATAAATTGTAAGCAACCTTTCTAGTAATTTTAACTTTTACTTTATTCACCACAATTTTCTTTTAATTTTTGAAATATATCAATTTTACCGCATGTAAATCATTTTATAATTTGTTTAATACTAAATAATAAAAACAATTAACTAAAAAATCAAATATTTATACATCTATTTGTGAATAATATTTTTTTAATATCGTTTACATTGAAAATACAATTTTAAAGCTTACGTTTTACATTAACCGGCTTACCACATGCCATCAGTTAATGAATAATATTTGTATAAAATATGTCATAATTTGTATAGAAACGTTTTAAACAATAAAAAGAATAATATTGCTATTGTGTTTTTAAAAAATGATAATTTCTAACGGTGGCTACAGACTTTCATTGCAATTGTACTTCTTTATTCTTGTAGTAACGTGGAGGCATCATACATTTGTGCACCAATTCGTAAATACGCCGACTCCTTTCCAGGTATATATCTCATGGCAATGTGTACCAATTTGCTTAAGGCATTCAGCTGAATTTCATGAGGTTCCGAAGCAGTGATTTGTAAATCATAGTTACCACTTGTATCATTCTATGTGAAATAGAAGACAATAGAAAATATCATCATCATCATAAGCATATATAATCAAGTGTGTAATATATGACTTTGTATGGCACATGAGAATATCAATATTTCAGGGGTAAAGTGGCGTACCGACTATAAATTATTTTTGAGGGTAATAGACAGCCGCAACACTTACGAGATTATCCAAATAACTCAGTAGCTGTTGACCAACAGAGGCAATTTGTAAAAATGTCCCCTGTGATTTGTTGGAATATAAATGTAAACGCCTTCCAGCTATTTCAAGTAACATTCGGCCAATAAATTCATCTTCGGCTACATCATTTAGCAATAACTCAGCATTGGCATCAAATCCATGGGCATAGAGATCTACAATCTTTGAAATATGTGTTATATATATTAATGTCACATGAAATATATGTATACTTACCTGTCGTCTTCTCAAGGCCTTTTGGTCAACACCCCAGCTTTCGGCCAATTTGAAAATTTTATCCATATATTGAAAATGTTCGGCAACAAAAAGCTGTTCCAAATCCTCCCTTATTAAATCCATTGAGGCCGTGATAACTTTCGATAGAAATTCGGTGCGATGTTGTTGTAAAACCATATCAGCTGCTGGTAGTATAAAATTCAGTTCTTTATTTATATCACCAAAGAATGCCTTATTACTCATGGCATCAAACACCAGGGTTAAGGGCTTCGAAACTCTCAGTTGGAAAAAGGCAATGAAGTGTAAAACTGAGCACAGTTCATAATGTAATTTCAGTTGCTCTTTGATGGCATGATGTTGTTGCAGAGCCAAAAACTGCAAGGGGGTCTGTCCCTCAGCCAAAGACACTTCAAACTTCAAGTCATATGATTGATGATCCAGCGAATCTTCCAAGTGCTCCAGAAACAATAGACATAGCTCAAGAAATTCTGGAACACATGAAGCAGACATTTCAATATCCTGTTGACATAATTTATCCTTTGGCAAACGTCCAACTTTATGGATTAATTTTGCTGTACTTTGTAGGGGATATTTAATGGCTGCCTGCCACAACATACAGCCAGTACCATGTTTCAATGCCAAATCTGTTACACGGAATTGTTTTAGGCATTCTATGGCAGCACGAAAATGTTCTAAACTTGTTAGATTCTTACTCCAGTAGATCAAGTAATGCCAAGTCAAAAGACTCAGCAGAGAACCTGATTCTAAACTGAATGGAAAATGTTTACGCAGCAATGATAACTTCATAAGAACCGCGTCCAAATCGCCAGTTTCTTCGTAGTGCGACGTTTTTGTTGTAGCATTCAAGTCAGTTTCACCTTCTTGCACTATTTCTGCCTTATCAATTTCCACAATTTTCGATGGATGTATTCTGGTGTTTATTAACCATTTTGCTGTTAAATCGGTAACAATTCCTTTGCCACCACTGACAATGGCTTTTAGACTACAGTCCGGCTGTTCATAGGGGATTTCAGGCATTATTGGTTCCAGGCTTATTATGGGATATCTGCATCAATAAATTAGTTATGTTTGTAAATAAAAAAAAATTCTTAAAACTTTTTATGCTTACTCTAAAATTGCTCCCAGTACTGCAATATCTTCCAATTTACCAATTAACAAACCCCACTGGGCTTCATCATGGGATATGCGTTCAAAATTGTCATCTTCTTGCTGTGGACTTTCATCACAAGAACCCTGAAAGGCAATATATAAAAATAAAACTGGTAATAACTGTGAAGTGGCGCTTAATACCTCCTTAAATTCTCGCCTGACAGATACAGCCACAGTTTTGCACACAATAGCCACAAGTAGGCCCAATGATTTCGGACTATCCAAGAGCAATTCTCTTACATACTGCCACCAGGGCGATATAGCATTGTAAGCATAATTATTAACAACATCCCCAGCCAGTTGGCAAATAGCCTTGATCATTTCGGCCAAACGAGACATGTCAGCAATAACTTCATCACTTCGAAAGAAAATAGAAATATTAAAAAAGTATTAATTTTTGTAGAATGGATTTCTTACCAGTTTTTATAGGTGAAGGGTTTCTCCAGCCAGTAGTAAAGTGCCAATATCAATAAATCTTGATGTGGTATTAATGATTTTTCAGCTGCCAATTTGAACTGATCAAAGCACAGGCCTTCTGTGAAGAAACGATTGAAAAGTTTTGAACTAACTTCCCCAAAGTTACTCGACTTTTCCTTTAGCAACGGAATCCGTGATGCCTGATCAACTTGAAAGATATTTAGAAATTCCACAAATTCTCCAACATCATCAAACTCTGCACCGAATGTTACGCCACGTGCCGTTACTCCAAATTCATTCATTTGTTGTTTCAAAAGATATGACTCACTTAACAGCAATACCAATTGCTGCATTATCACCAAATCAGATTCATCCAATTCCAAGGTTTCAACATATTCACGCTTCTGTGGCACCTTCATTTCCATATAGAATACACAAAGACGTTTATAGTTGCGTATGACAATTTGAAAATGCCGATAATCATCTAGCGATTTAATGTTATATTTTTCGGGATTTTCAATCTGTTGCTGCAGCGTTAGATCAAAGGCATGGATGATACTTTGAAAAATTGGAGCACGCAGTTGTTTACTTTTCAATATCATTTCCAAACACTGTTGACGCACTTCAATCGTTTGAAAGTCCGCAGCCATGGAGCTTATTTCTTCTATATCCAGTTTGGTATTATCGCTGGAGCGTAGTAAATTTTTCAAACGTCTCATAAGATGTATATCCTTGGAGGTGGCCGAATTGGCTGTGCTCAAGGCATAGTGAAAGGGTATTTGTATTTCTTTGACACTGGCATCACTGGGATCCAAAAACAAACATGTACTGATATGTGTGCGATTTTTACTATCTGGTGTTAGACCTAAATGGAAAAGGAAGCTGTTATTCAAAAATTATTCCTGATTACAGCTCACTCACCCAATAGTCCATGTGTATTATAAGCTAATTGTCCATTTTTGGTAACGGTGAATGCAGCAACTTTTGGTCCATGTTGCAGAGGCCAAATTTCAAGACAACCCAGACGTGGAGCATAGATGACCAAAAACAGTGTTTTTCTTTTTGTCGTTTGCACACCTTTCAGTGTTTTCTCCTTGACCGGTACAAATGCACACTGGGCTTCACGATAACCTTTCCAAACTCGAATGATTTCCGATTTTTGTGTATCCACCAATAACACTCTATCCAAACTATCAATTATGGCAGCAAGGCGACCATTCGGTGCTATCACAATAGTATTACCATCACGTTTTTCATCAAAAAATCTACATTTCATGCGCATTTTTAATTCTTTGCCGGCTTCCAATGAGGGCTGTTCATCGGGTGAGGGTGTTGTTGGCGGAGCAGGGCGTCCAAAAAGATTACCCATAATATTGCGATAGGCCATACCAATTACATCCTTGGCCACTTCGCCAATTGAAATTGTCTTATAACCTTCTTCAGCCTGGTAAAAACCCAAACATGGCTCAGCACCCACACCCACAACCGTAGAACTTTTCATCGTTGTGGAAGAGACACGAGCATGATAACCAAACGAAACACATTGGTCAACAATGTTGTCATACACTCGCGGTATCTGTGTAGAATCGATAATGGCATCATTTATAATTGTCTCCCGCTCATTGGGAAAAGCGAATTTTTGAAATGGCAGTAAGTCGGCAGTCTCAGCAATGGAAGTCGTACTACGACCAATTGTTCGATTAAGATTTTGTCGTAAATTATTTAGATGTGGTATCAAATCGGATCCCTTTAAGATGCAAACACAATGGTCGTAGACAACATATACAAAGGCATCAGCTTCGGAATGTCTGGGAGGTGTGTAGGCCTTAATTGCCTGTACAGGACTTTCGTGATAACTAGAAATGTATGCAAATTAAAATTATATTCGTTTATCGTTTCCTATATAAAATTTACCTTTGTGAGTATAATTTTATACCAGAATCTGTATAGAATACCACCATGCCCGAACTTAGACCCATTGCAATGCAGGTCCATTCGGCTCCCGAGCTCACAGCCTTGCCGAACATGGGTAAACACAGAACTGAACTAACAATTTGATTCGGATCCTCAAGTTCTCCACACCAACTCAATGTGTATGTGGATGTTTGCAATTTGCTGTCCCAACTCGAGCTAAGCAAAGCCAATTTCTCGCCCAAAGCCATGGCAATCATATCCCCCGCTGGCGATATGGAATAGTTTATGCCATTCAACCAATTATCATCTGTAATGAGTCAACAGTATAGAATTTTCTTAGTGGTGGCATTGTATACTTCTTCAGGCAAATCGTGTTACCATGTTTGAGCCCAAAATATTCCTGGACTTTGTGAAAATCTTTTAGATTTCCATATGTCTTCACTTCACACGACATGATGGAGAATTAAAAAACTAAAAACTTTTCAACTTTCTGCAATGTTTTCTACGGATTTTATTAACAAAAAAATTGCGTGGCAAACCTTCCCCAACAAAACCAAATAAGCAAATAAGAAGGCAAACAAGTAATGCCCGATAAAAAATAAAAAGAAAGCAAAATTCCGGAGAACTCTGTTGTTTACGAATGAGTGTAATGTTTACGGATAGTTTAAAAAAGAATATTTCTAAACAGGGGTCAGCCAATAACAACGAGAATATTCCTATGTGTGTGTCCGTATTCAAACCAAAACAAATGCTTCTTCTTGTCCTTCTTTGTGGGGAGAAAAATCAGAAAGCCAAGTAAACTGATAACACTACGAGTGAAATGATAATTTTCAAGGTCTATGTAAGATCGGACAAGAATATTACTTTTGACAACAATTTGTCCAGAACTTAATAGTTTTTACACTAATTAAATTTATAAATCACTCAGTTATGCACTCTTTCCGTCATTTATTCAAAATTGTACTGGAAGCTGTTCGTTTACCGAAAAGTAATAAGTGAGATCGAAATAAAAGAGACATTTTGACAATTGAGTTATGGGAGTTTGCAAATTATTACTGAGAATTTCCCCTAAAATTATCCAGTAACAAAAGCTGTTCAATAATCAGTTGTTTTGTAAACAGGCTAATTTAAAAAATATATTATTGTTGAAGAAAAAGCCTATTACATTTATTAAGTACAAAGAATAAGGCAGACGTATTTAAAGATTAAAAATAAATAATTTAGAAGCGGATAATGAGCTATATTGTTTATGTTGGTTCGAAATTAAGATAAAAAAATTTTACATCCATGGAACACCATTGCCCAGGCCTACATCAATTGGAGATGCAACAATTGCTCTGTTCCAGTACCTGCACGAATCTATTAGTTTTGCAATTTTCTTTGTTATCATAAAAGGAAAATCGGTTATCGTAGCGAAAAATGTTGCATTCTTGTAGTTCTGGAACAGAACAAGTGCATGAAAACTATTTGTTATTTTTATTATTATTATATATATATTTTTTTTTTGCAAAAATTAAATTTGTTACTGTCTGTAATCTTTGTCCATGGAAGCGGTCATAATCCAAGGTAATCTCATGCTATCATACGATTACAATTTCAGACCAATTATTTTGCTATTTTCACGCATTTTAGAGGGTATAAAAGTCAAGTAAGAATATAATATAAAACAGAAAAGTTAAGTATTACTCTGAAAGTCATGTAATAATTAGTTATGAAATGCTTGAATGGAACCAAACCAAAAGAAAAGTATGTATTTTAATAACCTCTGAATGACGTCGTATTAGAAAACATATAAAAATCTACTTATATTTGAAAAGACATTTAAAAATTCTTGACATATTAGTGTTCCCAAGCGTGGATGGTTTATTTTATTTACTATTATTTTTGAATATGAAAATGTAAAAACAAATAAACTGCATCCAAACATTTCTGTTGTTACGATTTGCGCCAAAGTTATTTTGATGCATCAGCTGTTATCTCACAAATGTTTTGCAAGTTGCATTTTTTATCGAGAGAGAAAATCGTATTATTTCTCAGTAACATCCTACTGAGTAAATGTTACTGCCGATGTGCCGATACATCCCATCTTCTTCTTGAAATTTGACAATCAGACCTTTGTTGTACCCTCAGCCATATGGCTACATTTGATACGGTCAAAACGTGCCTAGTCGAAATAACGGTTTTAAACCCTAGGTCTCTTTGGACCAAATCCGTTTCAGAACATTTGGAGTCGATCTACCGATGTCCGTCCGTCCGTCTGTCTGTTTGTCTTTCTGGCTGGCTGGTCGCACGATAACTCTCGAAGGGAGTATCCGATTTGGTCCAAACTTGGTACATCGTAATATTTTTGTCAAACTTAGATCGAGTTCGGAGATGGACAATATCGGTCCACTCCTTCTGGTACCTCCCACACAAAATGTATGTCCAAATTTTCAAAGAAATGCTGCACAGAAAGAGAAGGGTTGATCTGATTTTGCTCCAACTTTGCGAATTCTACTATTTGCATCAATTCTAGGTCAGGTAAGAAAATGGACAAGATCGGTCCACTCCATCAAGTACCTCCCCCACAAAGGGTCAAAATTTTGAATAATTACAACTCTTAAATAATGTGATGTAAGGATCCGAACGTCTTAAATTGCACACATTTAATATTTTTATAAACCCAAGATCTGATGTTAACATGGGATGTATCGGTCCACTCCTTCTGGTACCTCCCCCACAAAGTGTCGAAATTTTGAATACCCATGAAGCACATAAAACGCCAAATTAACATGCGATTCCATTTAGACTTGGCACATCTCAATATTTCTATCAACACAAGATCTGTTATAAAGGTGGTATAGATTAAACCATTTCTTCTCCCCCATACATAGGTTTCAAGATTTTGAAAAACAAAACACTCAAATAAAGCGAAATAAATATCCAACTCTCTTCAAATTTCACACACACATATTTTTGCTAACACAAGATCTGTTATGAAGTCGATATATATCTGCGAATCCTTTCTGGTACCTCACCCACAAAGGGTCAATTTTAAATAATTTTATCTGTCATAACTTTCGAAACAATTTAGACAATTTAGCAATACTTTACTACTTGCTATGTCAAATATTTCTCTCAATAAGAAGCCTGATATGAATATGACATTTATCGGAATTTATGACTTCGCATAAAATTGGACATAAATATCCTTTCTTGTAATTTTGCCCCATATTATATTTCGCTCAATATCAGATGAAGTATAAAAATGGAATATTTCAGTAGACTCTATATGGTACATCACGCACTTTTTAACATTTTCTAAAAATTAGTGAGTGAGTCGATATAATCCATACCAGGAACGTTGGAATATTTATATCATATTTTTGGGTCTGATACGAAGTGGATAATATTGGCCCATTCCTTCGGCACCATTAAATGTCAAAACAAATTGTTGTAATGGCGAATTCGCCCTAAATGAATGCAACAACAAATTCGTTTATGTTGTCTTCCCTAAAAATATTTTTATAATATATAATATTTCAAATAATTTAAGAGCAAGTTAAGAGTGAAACCAGTAAAAATAATTAAAAGAAAATGAAGGAAGGAGTATAGAATGGAGTGCAGCTTTAAGAATTAAGTTAGCCTCAACATATAAGATTCCCAAAGCACATCACGGGAAGTGGTGCAAGAATTCGACTCTTGTCATTCGCAGTTCCGGAAAACTTTCGGTTTAAACCAGTAAAATATAGTCATTATAATTTTCTTGGTTTAAAAAATATCGCAATACTACAATTAATACTTATTTTACTCTTATTTGTTTTACAATAAAAACTTTTATTGCGAAGTTCGTTTACGACGAGAGGCACACAAAATAAAATGTAAACAAACACCTCGTTTCTGATTGATTGAAACAAATTTGCCGCAACCTTTAAATGTCATGGCGAATCTATGTTTTTCGCCTTAGATGTCAATTTTGACATTTGAGGGGACCACAAAAGTTGCTTTGTTGTAGCAATTCGCCGATGCGGTTACCTGTTAGCAGTGATGCCAACATTTTGAGAGCTAAAAGCGTAATTAAAAACCAGAAAAGCGTAAATGGCGTAAAAATTTTCCTTAAAAAAGCGTAAAAAGCGCTATGTATTTTTTTCTAACCAAAATTGTCAATAAAACACTTTTTTTAAAACTAAATACTGTTTTATTCAAAAATTTAGATCGTATCTTATATAAACATTTCATTGAACAAACGTTGTTTTCATAAAAACAACAATAAAGAGATAAAGCCTGACCATTTTGCAACAACAAAATAAACATTTCATATATATAAGCGCATACATATTTTTAAACAAGTAAAAAAGCAGTAAGTTCGGCCGGGCCGAACTTTGAATACCCTCCACCATTTAAAACGAATTAGGAAATTTACAAAAAAAAAATCCATTAAAAATTCTGTTAAAATCTACAAAAATACCCAATATCGGAAGATGCCGATATATTGAGGATATACGATATTGTGGACCTTACCGACAATTCTATTTCAGGGGGTAAAGTACTCACAAAGAACTCCTTGTGTAGAATTGCAGACAATTCCATTGAAAAATGTGTCTTAAATCAACAACAACATATATAAATATTTCATGTATATAAGTGCATACATATTTTTAAAAAAATATGATATATTAGGAACATTTTACATGTGGTTAAAACTTGCAGACATATACATTTTTACAAACAATTATGTTCAACCATAAAACCCATAGCTTCAAATTCAGTTGAAGTTTTGTAAACTCGTACAAGAAAGCAGCCATGTATAAACTTACGTTTTTTTCTCGTTCATTTCACTTTTCCTTCAATTGGTTTATAATACACAAAATTCTTCATTTTATTATGGTTTATTAAAAAAGAGTAAACAAAAGAACTTCAATGACAGGAATGACACGTAAAGAACTTGCGACAAGTAGATGTCATACTATCAAAATATTCGAATGTATAAACATTGTTATATTTAAAAATCTAAAACGCGCTAGAAGCACCAACAGAAAAGATGAAAAGCGTACGTACAGTGCTTTTTTTTCGTTTCGCGCTATGCCCACTATTTTGGCGTTTTAGGGGGTCTAAAAAGCACCATAAATAGCGCGAAAAGCACTAAGTTGGCATCGCTGCCTGTTAGATCTACCTTGAAGCCAATCAAGCAGTCAAATAAAAAAAATAATAATAATAACAAAATAGTAAATATGGAATAACATAACAAAGCTGTGATTTAACGATTTACAAACGAATTGAACATATCCATATATAACCGTATTTAAAAAACAAATCCAATTTGGAGTTCTTAACATAAATTACAAAACAATCGAATGTGAGTCATGGACTGAGTGCTGGGGGGCTTTCACGTCTCATAAATTGAAGGAAATTCGCGATAAGACAAGACAATTTACAATTTTATCTACAGTTTTTCTCTTGCAGTAAATTAATCGAAAACAAATGACTGTTGAAGCTGGTGCAGACGCCTCACCGTCGATGGTGACAGATGCCAACAATGCTGTCGCCAGTAGCGGCAATGTTTCATCGCCCTCTCTATCCGAATTGTATGGGCAAACGGATTTCTATATTGGTGTTGGCCTGGCAATCAGTTCGTGTTTCTTCATTGGTTCTAGCTTTATTATTAAGAAAAAGGGATTGATGCGTCTCAATCGTCATGGCGAACTAAGGGCATCGGCCGGGGGTTTTGGTTATTTGAAGGAGTGGATATGGTGGGCTGGTTTGTTGACAAGTAAGTGAATTGTATTGCTGAATGATGTTGATTTTTGTTTTGCTTATGTCGAAAGAAAAGCAATTCTTTGAGATGTTACAATGGTACTTATTGTTCTGGCACATGCTAATATGTAATCATCTTTGTTCGTGTAAAAGTGCACAGGGCGTTGTCCTAAATAAGGTTTCTTTGCTTCCTATAATGAACTAGAATCTTCGATGTAGCAGAGAATTTCAAAGTTCAAATATGAACATCAAATTTAGAGCCCCATTTCCCTTTGTAGCTTTCAAAGTACACCCGATCTCTCATGACCTTTGAAAAGAACTCTTTCTAATAGTCTTGTAGAAGGTATTCTGCCTATTGAATACAGGGTGAGATAAAACAAAACTGCAACAAGGTAAAACTCCAGCATTTTTACATTTTTTTAAAGATTTTTTTGAATGAAAACAAAAAACGTCGGAAATAGCATCAAATTTTAGAATATGTTTAGATTTGTTCGAATTGGTCACCTTTGGCACGAATTATGACCTTCAAACGGCCAATGAAACCGTCATACGCTGCTGGAATGTTGCACTGTGGTATCTTGGCCCATTCTCGGCGAAGCGCTTGAGGTGTTCGGCACTTTGGTATTTTTTAGTGCCAACCTTGCTTTCCAAAATACTCCAGGCGGCCATTATGCGCTGAAAATGAAGCGAGGAACCTCATTTTATAACCATTCTTGTGTGGCACGTGCTGAGTGCGATGGTGCCGAGTTCTGTTGCAATGTCCAAGGTCTGCGGTCAAAATGTTTGCGTGCCCAAGGCTTTAATACACCCTCCAGAATATTTTCGCGATAATATTCGTCATTTATTCTGATGCCATGGTCGATTAATACGAGCGGAGAACGACCATCGGCTGTTATGGCGGCACACACCATCACCATGGCCGGCGCTTGAGTTCTGGTGGCCAACCGAAGGTGCACTCAGCTCACCTCTTTGACAAGTAAACACGATCATTTTGTTTGTTTAAAAACTGCAGGACAAAACGAATATTTTCTCATCGGAGAAAACCAAATTCTGTTTCGGTCTATTTTCTTTCTGTTGCGGTGTAAGTTCTTGCACTTTTTGGAATTTCAATGGCTTTACCTCGAGCTCTTTTTTCAATATTTGCCGAATGGAATATTGCAATATATTCAGCTCACGGGCCACTTTTCGGCCACTGCGATGCTGGTTTCGATCGAGTCGCTTCTTTACTTTTCGAACCATTTCTTCTAATGTTGCTGTTTACTTCCGTCTATTTCCTTGACGTCGGGCTACGCTACCAGTATCACTGTAACGAGCGATGGCACGAGACACAAATGATTTATTTACGTTTAAATGCTGGAGTGCTCTAACGATAGCCACTTGTGGTTTGCCAACCAAATATAAAAAACTCACACTATCACGGTTGAATTCCATCACGAATAACTTTTCTGGAAAATTCTCACCAAAATGCTTTTGTACGCTTGTAAACTAGAATAATTCTAACAGCTGTCGGGAGATTGGCTTAGAGGTGACAACAGTCTGAAGTTGGTTGCAGTTTTTTCATCTCACCCTGTTAATGATGGGAGTTTTTTCTACGAATTTCCAAGTTGTTGAATTCTTTCCTTGACAGTTTATTTCTTCATACTTTTAAGATTTTTAAATTTATTCTGACTACAATAATAAATATGTATATTTTAATGCAAATTTTTACCTTACTTTATTTCTAGTGGGCCTTGGAGAGGCGGCAAATTTCGCCGCATATGCTTTTGCACCTGCCTCGCTGGTAACCCCGTTGGGCGCCTTGAGTGTTATCATATCTGCAGTTATGGCATCACAATTCCTCAACGAAAAACTTAACTTACTTGGCAAACTCGGCTGTTTCCTGTGCATTGTGGGTTCAACGATTATTGTCATACACTCACCCAAGGAAAAAGAAATTGAAGATTTGCAAGTTCTGTTCGAGAAATTACAAGATCCTGGCTTTATATTTTATGTCATTCTAATTATTGGCTCAACAATATTTGTGGCATTTTTTGTTGCACCACGACATGGTCATAACAATGTGGTGATCTATATATTCCTATGCTCGGGAATTGGTTCGTTGACGGTAATGTCATGCAAGGCCTTGGGTTTGGCCATACGTGATACAATAGCGGGAACAAATGATTTTGCCACCTGGATGCCATGGTTTTTAATACTTGTCACGGTAACATTTATTGCCATACAAATGAATTATTTGAACAAGGCTTTGGATATCTTCAATACGGGCATTGTAACTCCCATATACTATGTGATGTTTACAACATTGGTCATCACAGCTTCGGCGATATTATTCAAAGAATTCACTCACATGCGTTTCGAAGATATATTGGGTGATATTTGTGGATTCCTTGTAGTCATAAGTGCAGTATTTATGTTAAACGCGTTTAAGGATATGGATGTATCGTTGAATGATGTACGCGGCATTATGCGTCCCAAGATGCAGAAACTTAATCAATACGATGATGAAGTAATGGTGGAAGAACCAACACTCAAGGATCGTCGTTATACCTATGGATCGGGAGATATTTATCGTACAGCATGACATAAGCAACGTTATCAAGTGTAACCCACTGCTATTAATTGATAAAATACTTCAAGGCCTTTTCACTTTACCATACTCCACTTTCCTTTTCTCTCTTTCTCCTTCCTTTCCCCCCTCGAACATTGCTGTTTTGTGTTATTATACTATTTTTAACGAAATTGTTGTTGGTGTGATTTTAAAAAATATTTATACATTGTTAATGATGTAGAAGACCTAATCCAAAGTCCTATGAAATAAGTCTAAGTCCTTTATACATTCATTTGCTTTTTCTTTTTTGTTTTGTATATTTGTATAAGCTAGCATTGTAAGAACATTTTTTTTTGAAAAAAGAACAAATATTTTTATTGAGAATAAAGACTATATTCCCAGAGTCTATAAAAAAGTATGGATTTGAATTTGCTTTTTCATTAATAAATTCCAAATGGATGGGGTGTTTGAACGTCGGTACTTACCCATGCAAATAAAATTAATAATATTTTTGAAAATTTTGTACCGCTTACTTATTGGGATGACATAGGATACTTCTGTTGATGACATACGTTCAAATTTAGCTCTTTTGCCATTCTTCACATGGATTGAGGAGCTGAGAGTGCAACTTAATGTGCTGGTCGATAGACAGAACATTACGACCACTTTTTATCGAATAGCCTAGTGGATTAATTAGGCATCACTTGGCTGCAGACAAAGAGGGTTTGTCGTCCAGTCACGAAAAGTAATGCTTCACAATGAAGTAGTATTCAGGCTATTCAAAACACAGACATGAAAACTGGTGCCTTATCAGGACTATAGTGAGGAGATGAAGATTCTTTCTCTTTGATACGGCCAAAACATGCCTCATCGAAATTACGGTTTTAGACCACAGGTCTCTTTGGTCCAAATCCGTTCCAGGACATTTAGAGTCGATCTACCGATGTAAGTCTGGTGCGCTTGATAACTCTTGAAAGGAGTATGTAATTTGGTCCAACCTTGGTACATCGTAATATTATTGTCCAACTTAGATCGATTTCGGAGATGGACAATATCGGTCCACTCCTTCTGGCACCTCCCCCACAAAAATGCAACATTTCAAAGAAAATATTTTGTTGCACAGAAAGAGAAAAGAGGTCCGATTTTGCTCCAACTTTGTAAATTACACACATCACAATACTTTTATTAATCCAAGGTCTGGTGTGAAGATGGAATATATCGGTCCACTCCGTCTGGTACTTCCCACACAGAGGGTCAAAATTTTGAATATTCATGCAGCTCAGAAAACACGAAATTAAAATCCGACTCCATTCAGACTTAACATATCTCAATTTTTCTATCAGCACAAGATATGTTATAAAGATGGTAGAGATCGGACCATTCTTTCTGGTACCTCCCCCACAAAGGGTCAAAATTTTGAAGCTCAGAAAACACGAAATTAACATCCATTCCAGACTTGCTACATCTCAATATTTCCATCAACATAAGATCTGTTATAAAGATGGCAGAGATCGGACCATTTCTTCTGGTATCTCCTCCACATAGGGTTCAAGACTTTGAAAAACAAAACGCTCAAAGGAAACGAAATAAGCATCCAACTCTCTTCAAATTTCCCAAACCCAAATATTTTTCCTAACGCAAGATCAGCCAACTTGCCAAACAACTTTACAACTTGCTATATTTAAATATATCTTTTTACCATAAATCTGATATGAATATGTAAATTATCGAAATTCATGATTTCGCATTAAATTGGTTATAAATGTTCGATTTCCTTCAAATTTTGCATACGCTGATATTTTTATCTATATTGGATGAAGTATGAAAATGGAATACTTCGGTCCGCTTTATCTGTTACATCACGCATATTTCCACATTTTCCAAAACTTTACACATATCTCTTATAAAGTTTAGGGAGTAGTCAATGTAGTCCAAATCTGGCACGTTGTAATATTTTTATCAGACTTAGGTCAGATACGAATTGGTCAATATTGGCCAACTGCTTCGGAACTTCTCACATAAAGGATCAACAGTTTGAATAATCATAACTTAAGGCTGGGGGTTTACATCTGTCGGCCAAACCGACTGATACCATATTACTTGTTATCTGCTGAATTGAGAATTACACTTTCTTTTAAAACGAGATCATAAGAACCACTACAAAACAAAAAATCCAATTGTTTCGTTTCATTCCACTCCTAAAAGTATGCTTTAAAATTTGTAACACTTTGATATGCTACGACACGTTACGCACTAATAGTGGCTTCATCACTCTTTCCAACAGGAAACAAAGTTTAAAGATAATAAGGACATTACTTATTTTGTTTACGAATACAAGTAGAAAGGATTTGAAGGGTGAAATGTTCATTTACAAATTACCTGGCCAATATTATTAGAAATGGAATCATTGTCACTGCACAAAATCTGTCGCATTTGTTTGAAAAGCGACATCCTTGTTTCCATCTATAGTCCAACATTTTTAATACGACCCATTGAAATGATGCAGAAGCTAAAAATAGCCAATTTTAATGTAAGTTTAAGGTCCATGATTGACTTGTGGCTAAGATTTGAAGAGAGATACTGTGATGTTGTGATGTTTAATGTGTTTAATTTGTTCCAGAACATAGTGTCTTTGTTTAAATTAAAGCATTTTTTTTTAAATTATAACAAATTTTTCCATATATTTGGGTCGATAAAATATCTATCTCTAATAATTCTCTCTTCTATTTCCTCAGACAAACGATGATGCCTTTCCCGCCCTTCTGTGTCAATCCTGCTTATATCGCCTCTTGGATGCCTACAATCTACAACAATTGGCTGAGGCTTCTGAACGACGTTTGAGAGAATATTTCTTTGGTATTCCATCACAATCTACGATGAGGTAGGTTGCCAAGTATTTTAACTACTTTTTTCATGTGTTTTTAATATTTCCATGTATCTTCGTAGCAGTCTGGGTTCGGTGCTGAATATATCCATCTCACCCAAGCCCCTGGAAACACCCGATGATAGTGTGTCAGTTGCAAATCTATGCGATATGATGTTCTATCGTGATGTCACCAATGATATAGTTGAAGTTGTCGGTGACGATGTGGAGTTGTTAAATGACGTTGAAATCGATGTTAGTAGCCTAACGCGCTCGGAGGCTGATGAAACGTTAAGTGAGGTGTTTGGTAGAAATTCAAGTGTATCAATGGATGCTACCTTAATTGGGACGTCTCATGATGAGGAAAAGCGATATGAAAATAAGAATAGTGGAAATAGTCTTTGTGAAATGCAGCAGCAAGTGGAGGGGAAAAAGAGAATACATGAGTCAACAAAGGGTCAAGGGCGAAGTGTTAAGAAAACTCTAAAAATACCAGATAAATGCTTAGATTGTGGAAAGGTTTTCCACTACAAGGGTTATTTGTTGATACACAAACGTGTCCACACCGGAGAAAGGCCATTTAAATGTGAGGTAAGTAGAAATTAAAAATGCTATTTAAATAGTAAAGCTATGGAGTTTTTTTACCCTACACCACATATTGGTAAGGGTATTATGTCTTTGTGTATTTGTTTGTAACATGGAGAAGGAAGCGAGTTGGACCCATAGTTACTTTTGGGGATCTTCATAGAATCACTTTCTGAGTCGATTTATGTATGTCCGTCCGTCTGTCCATTCTTGTGAACAAAATGTAGGGCGCATTTATTATCCGATTGGGATGAAATTTTCCAAACAATATTTGTTTGGCCCAAGGACGAACCCTATTAAAGTTGGTGAAAAACGGGTCAGATTTACATATAGCTCCCATATAGATCTTCCACCGATTTCGGGTTAGTTGGGCACCAAATCGCCAATATAAGTCCAAATGACCTAAATGTTGGTACATCCCACAAAATTGAGTCTGGAAGAAAGTACATCAAATTTGGAGAAAATCGGTTTAGATGTAGCTATAGCTCCCATTTATACATGGTGTGATGAAAAAACTGCAACCAACTTCAGACTGCTGTCATTTTTAAGCCACTCGTCCGACAGCTGTTAAAATTATTCCAGTGACAGCTCATTATATTGCTTACAAGAGTACAAAAGCATTTTGATCAGAATTTTCCATAAAAAAAGTTATTCGAGATAGAATTCAAGCGTGATAGTGTGATTTGTTTATATTTGGCTGCGAAACCACAAGTGGCTATGGTTAGAGCACTCCGGCATTTAAATGTGAATAAATATTTTGTGTCTTGTACCATCGCTAGTTACCGTGATCCTGGTAGCGTAGCCCGACGTCAAAGAAGTGGGACAGACAAAAACTGTAGCATCAGAAGAAATTGTCCGAGAAGTAAAGAAGCGACTTGATCGAAACCCGCGTCACAGTTGCCGAAAAATGGCTCATGAGCTGAACATATCGCAATATTCCATTCAGCAAATATTGAAAAATGAGCTCGGAGTAAACCCATTAAAACTTACACCGCAACAGAAAGAAAATAGACTCGAAAGAGCTAAAGAGTTGCTTCCTTGGCCGAAAGTGGTGAACTGCCGAATATGGTTTTCTCCGATGAGAAAACATTAGTTGTCCAGCAGTTAGTAAACAAACAAAATGATCGTGTTTACTTGCCAAAGAGGCCAGCTGAAAATGTGCACCTTCGGTTGGCCACCAGAACTCAAGTGCCGGTCATGGTGATGGTGTGGGCCACCATAACAGTCGATGGTCGCTCTCCGCTCGTATTAATCGACCGTGGCATCAGAATAAATGCCGAATATTATCGAGAAAATATTCTGGAAGGTGTATTAAAGCCTTGGGCACGCAAACATTTTGGCCGCAGACCTTGGTCATTCCAACAGGACTCAGCACCATCGCACTCAGCACGCGCCACCCAAGAATGCTTACAAAATTTTCGGATACCAATCCGTTGGACTATTGTGTCTGGAGTATTTTGGAAAGCAAGGTTGGCAGAGCAACATTCGGGCAGTGGGTGACGGTTTTTATTGGCCGTTTGAAGGCCGTAATTCTTGCCAAAGGTGACGAATTCGAACAAATTTCAACTTTTTCTAATATTTGACGCTATTTCCGATATTTTTTGCTTTCATTCAATAAAATTTAAAAAAATGGCTTTTGACTTTGTTGCAATTTTTTTTATTTCACCCTGTATTAGTTCCATTGAAACCAGATTATGGCTACTAAAGCCAAATATTGATAGGTGGTATGATCTACTTCAAATAAATTATTTTGTTACGGAGCTCTACTAAATATGCATAGTGGTGTAGGCTATCATATAGTCGGTCCCGCCTTTGACTTCATAGAAATTAATATTTATAATTAATATAAAAACAATAGTTATATTTAAAATTATAATAAAGAATTATAATAAAATGTCAAAATATGGTCTGTTCCAGAACTGCAACAATGTTAAAGTTTTTATTGCGATAGCCGATTTTCCCTTTATGATACAGAAAAAGAGTAGCAGAACTAATAGTTTCTCACAGGTTCTGGAAAAATAATAAATATAATCTATATAATTTAAAAAATATATTTTTTTTCTGCATGAAAAAATCACGACATTTCTTTTCATATTTTTTATTGTTAAAAATAAAAATATTTCGATAAACCTATATACTTAAAACTATAAAAAAAACAACGTATACAATATGAGGAATATATACTAGATGTAAAAATCCCTGATTTGTCGTTCAATGTCTAAAGAATGTTGTTAATAGAAATATTTGTATAACTCTATTCGAAAATTATTGAATAGATTTCACATCCAAATCTTTCGATTTCTTTGTACATTTCGTAAATTGCTCTACAATAACAACGGCTACAAAAATTATAGCTAATACTACAAAATATGAACCATATACAATATATTGGTCGCGTGGCAATAGACCCAAACCGGCATCGGTAACAACAACTAATGTCAAAATTGTTTGCAGTATAAGAGCTATTAAAGTATTTATGCCAAATATTAGACCAAAACTATCATCGCTTAAATTACGTGCCACTATGGCACTGGCTATGGTTATGACAAAGAAATACAAAATACCGAACATAACATACATGGCATATGCCACCCAGAGGATATTCGTTACAGCCGATATTATCATAAATGCTCCCATGAGTATCGAACATATTGTTAGAATCCACTGAGAACGAAAGACACCATTCATAAGGCCCGCAGTCATCGCACCAACAGCACCTAACAGAGTAACTGTCGCCTCGACGGCACCATTATAGTAACTCTCGTGATTTTCATCGATTTCTTTCCATAGAATTTGAGCATATGAAATAACTTGCAGTTGACCACATGTGGCCAATGCCCACCAAATGCTCCATTTTAAGACCGTGGGATTTGTGTAGGCACTCACAGTATGTTGCAGCAGAAGTCGCGAGGCATTTCTCCAGGAGAATTTCGGTTGAACATCATTGCTGGTCGATGAGTCTGCAAAAAATTTAATAAAAATGATATTTTAGTTAATATTAAAAAATTATTTAGTCTTTCATAGGTAATACCTAAGTCAGAATAGTGTTTTTAAATTCTATTTCAAAGGCAAAAATATAACCGCAGGCTTTTAGAAGTATTTTTCAAGGTCTGCCAAATCAAAATCGTTAATTTTTTAAAAGTATTTTTTTGTGGGACAACCTTCCAGTTTTTTCAATGTCTCTATAGCAATACTAGTGTCAAATCCGATATGACGTTTTGTGATTTAATTCCATTTCTTGAAATACAATAGCTATACCATTCTTTATACCCTCAGTCATATGGCTACAGAAGGTATATATCATTTGATATGGCCAGAACGTGCCTCATCGAAATAACGGTTTTAAACCCTAGGTCTCTTTAGACCAAATCCGTTTCAGGACATTTGGAGTCCGTTCGTCTGTCTGGCTGTTGCGTATGATAACTCTCGAAGAAAGTATCCGATTTATTCGAAATTTGGTACATCGTAATATTATTATCAAACTTAGATCGAATTCGGTGATGGCCAATATCGGTGCACTCCTTCTGGTACCTCCCACACAAAATATCAACATTTTCGAAGAAAATAATTTACTGCACAGAAAGTGGAATGATAACCCGATTTTGCTCCAACTTTGCCAATTCTAATATTTGCCATGGTACAATAAGGAGGTAGAACAGCTTCGTAAAACATCAAAAATACAGCTCTGAGGCTATGCCCGCTTCCTGTCAGAATTATTCAATATTATATCCAACAAGTTGTTTTCATTTATTTAATATTTTTTGTTAATTTCTAAAATGAGTAAAATAGCGCGAAAGATGAATGAAATGTCTGAATGCTCTCTCAAAAATATGATCCTAAGTGTTCAATCTTTCAATTCCATTTCAAATGTGGTTAACATTATTAATGCGCGCCCCGCAATTTAAGTTTCTTCCAATCATTGATTTTGAAAATATTTTGTTTTTATTTTTCAAAACAACAAATACATTCACAAAATTGGCAGAAGTCGGGCACACTTAGAAAAAAATTGTAATCAGCTGGGAGCTCTACCTTACCTTTTTATTGTACCATGATATTTGCATCAGTGCTATGTCAGGTGCGAAAATGAACAATATCGGTCTACTCCATCCAGTACCTCACCCACCAAGGGTTAACATTTTTAATAATTATAACTCTTATAAAATGTGATATAAGCGACCGGTAGTCCAGATATTACACACATCCCAATATTTTTTTTTAATCCGAGGTCCGGTGTGAAAATGGAATATACTGGTCTACTCCTTCTGGTAATTCCCCCACAAACGGCCAAAATTTTGAATATTCACGAAGCTCATAAAACACGAAATTAACATCCGATTCCATTGGCACATCTCAATATTTATAACAACACAAGATTTGTTACAAAGATGGTAGAGATCGGACCATTCCTTCTGGTACCTCCCCCACAAAGGGACAAAGCTTTGAATAACAAAACCTATCATAAAATCTGAAATAAGCATCCGGTCCTCTTCGAATTACACACTTCACAATATTTGTATTGACCCAAGGTCTTGTTCGGAGATGGGATATATCGGTTCACTCCCTCAGATACCTTCCCCACAAAAGGGTCTAAATTTTGAACATTCATGAACCTCATAGAAAGGGAAATTAACGTCCGATTCCATTCAGAATTGGTACATCTCAATATTTCTACCAACACAATATCTTTTATAAAGATGGTAGAGATCGGGACATTTCTTATAGTACCTCCCCCACATGGGGTTCAAGATTTTGAAAAACAAAACGCTCAAAGAAAGCGAAATAAGCGTCCAAATCCATCCATCTCCTCAAATTTCCTACATACAAATATTTTTGCTAACACAAGAACTGATGTGATGATGATATATAACTTCGAAACCCTTCTGGTACCTCACCCACAAAGGATCACAATTTTCAATACTGTATCTGTCATAACCTGCGAAACAAATATTTCTCTTTACCAGAAATCTGATATTAATATGTGATTTATCGAAATTTATGATTTCGCATAAAATTTGATATAAATTTTCGATTTCCTTCAAATTTTGCTTATATCGATATTTTTATCTGTATTAGATGAATTATGAAAATGGAATACTTCGCGGTCCGCTATAACTGTTAACTCACGCATATTTTCACATTTTCCATAAATTTGCACATATCTCACTCAAAGTATAGAAAGTAGTCGATATAGTCCAAATCTGGCACGTTTTAATATTTTTTGTCAGTCTTAGGTAAGATCTGAATTGGCCAACTGCTTCGGAACCTCCCCCATAAAGGATCAACACTTCCAATGATCATAACTCAAGGCTGGGGGTATACATCTGTTGGCAAAACCGACTGATACTATTTTACTTGTTTCTTTTGCATTCACTCTCGAATCGTCCTACAGAAATAGGTTCATAGTTAGCAGAGAAAATAGATGTTCTCTTTTGTTTTCGTTCTCAAAGATATTTTAATTTCATTACCACAATTAAATTTCTACATTCATACCACCTAGAGAACTTACCACTTCGCTCAACAATTTTATTATTGTGGTTCTCCGCGGCACATCCATTTTCCAATTCATCAGGCGATTGGATTTGTTGTGGCGTTCCTTCAATGTTTTCACCTTTATCTTTATTACCATCATCAACAGCGCCAACACCATCAACATCAGTTGTCGTCTTATAAAAATATATACTTTGGCTAACACTCGGCAGTGCAATCGCCACGAATAGTGATAAGATTTGTGAAGCAAACGATATGTAATGTAATTCACGATAATCCAAAGTATCAGTTGATACCAGAACCTGGGCCAAAACACCGCCCAAAAACTTGCCACACAATATTGCCGATCGCGTATGACCGGAGACAATTTGATAGCGAGATTTTTCCACCTTTGCATATATATACGTATAATAGGCTACTTCGCTAGCCATAAAGGTGCCATAGAATACCTGACCTATTAATAGTTCCCATACGGTGCGAGTCCACAGCAAAATGCCGAAGAGAACAATGCCCGACAGAGCGGAAACAATAATAATTGCCTTATATCGTAAAATATCGGTGATTAGAAACACAATAACAAGCTGGACGAGTACGGAATATGTTCCGAACGGATAGATTTCACGATTCAATTCTTCACTTGTTATATTACGATCCGGACCGGTAAGATATTCGACAACAAACGGTTCGGATGGACGCATTTCGCGAAAAAAACCAAATGTGCACAAGAGCAAGGATATACGTAACCATGATTGCATTGTTTTGTCCGATCTATTTGTCGCTTGTTTCCAAGCTGTCAGCTATTTTATGTTAATATGTTTTTTTTTGCTTAATTGCCGCCGATGCTATTAACCCCCGATCACTTTTGATTTTATTTTTTATTTTTTTGATATATGTTTGTTTCCGCGACGGAGAACGTCTTGCTACTCCGCCGTTTCTACGAGTGAATTAAAAACGTTTTGTTTTTATTTTTCCTCCTCCTCTTAACACCTTAGCAGTAATCATCAGATTGTTGTGTTAGATTCGTTATAAAAGTGTGAATTCTCTTCTCTTCTTTCTCTTGGCAAATATATTGTTATTTTCCAATACTCTTTAGTTTTTTCGTGTGTGTCTCTTCGTAGAAATACATATTTCCGAATAGTTGTTGTTTGGTGGGTTCAACAACATAACCGGTTGATCATCAAGCAACAAAATAGTGTATTAGAGCGGTTAAATAAATAAATCAATATTACAACGTGACATATTTGGACTATATCGACTACTTCCTATACTTTATAAGAGATGTGTAAATGTTCGGAAAGTGTGGAAATATGCGTGAGGTAACAGATATAGCGGACCTAAGTATTCCTTTTTCATACTTCATATAACGCAGATAAAAATATGGGTATATGCAAATGTTTATATCCAATTTTATGCGAAATCATAAATTTCGATAATTATCATATTCATATCTGATTTCTGATTAAGAGAAATATTTAGATATAGCAAGGTGCCAGAAGTACGCGAAGTGGTTGGCAGATATACATCATCTTCACAGCAGATCTTGCGTTAGCAAAAATATTTGGATGTGTGAAATTTGAAGAGAGTTGGATGCTTATCTCGTTATTTGTGAGCGTTTTGTTTCTCAAAATCTTGAACCCTATGTGGGGGAGGTACTAAAAGAAATGGTCCGATCTTCATTATTTTTAAAACAGACCTTGTTTTGATGAAAATATTGATATGTGCCAAGTTTGAATGGAATCGAATGTAAATCTTGTTTTTTATGAGCTTCATAAATATTCAAAATTTTGACCCATTGTGGGGGAGGTACCAGAAGGAGTGGAACGATATATCTCATCATCACACCAGACCTTGGGTTAATAAAAATATTGTGATGTGTGTAATTTGAAGGAAACCGGATGCTTATTTCTTATTTTATGATGGTTTTGGTTATTCAAAACTTTGACCTTTTGTGGGGGAGGTACTAGAAGGAATGGTCCGATCTCTACCATTATTATAACAGATCTTGTGTGAATGGAAATATTGAGATGTGCCAAGTCTGAAAGAAATCGGATGTTAATTTCGTGTTTTATGAGCTTCATGAATATTCAAAATGTTGACCCTTGGTGGGGGAGGTACCACAAGGAGTGGACCGATATATTCCATCATTACAACAGACTTCAGGTTATTGAAAATATTGTAATGTGTGTAATTGGAAGACAATCGGACACTTACATCACATTTTATAAGAGTTATAATTTTTCAAAATGTGCGGTGGACCGGTACTGTCCATTTTAGCACGTGACCTAGAACTTATGCAAATATTATGATATGCAAAGTTTGTGCAAAATCAGATTATATTTTCTCTTTCTGTGCAGTAAATTTTGTTCTTTGAAAATTTTGACATTTTGTGTGGAAGGTACCAGAAGGAGTATACCGATATTGCCCATCTCAGAACTTGATTTAAGTTTGGCAATAACATTACGATGTACCGAGTTTGGATCAAATCGGATACTCCCTTCGAGAGATATCGTGTGAAGTAGCCAGACAGACAGACGGACGGATATCGCTAGATCGTCTCCAAATGTCCTGAAACGGATTTGGTCCAAAGAGACCTAGGGTCTAAAACCGTTATTTTGATAAGATACCTTTTGGCCGTATAAAATTATATATATCCTGAGGGTATAAAAATAACCAAAAAGATCCTTTGATTAAGGGTTAGAGGATTAAAATTTTTAACCAAAATAATCCACGCAACGTTATCTGTAATATTGCCGAAGACACTGTATACCTAGAATGTAAGTGTTCCTATGGATCTTAAACCTTAAATTTCCAAGAATGTGGAAAAGGAGGAACTACCTCCCTCTATTTTCGTTACTTTGTGACGTAAAGTTTTATATCTACTTTCATAATCTGCTGGATTTTTCCTGTGATTATTTTTGGTGTTGCATAGTGTTAATAGATTTCCCCAGAAATCCTTTAATGAAACCCTAGTGGGCAAAAAATCTTTTAAAATTAGTTAAGAAAAAAATGTTCAGACACTACTGCGATTATTCGCTTATCGCGACAATTAGATTAAAAAGTTAACCTGATTCTAACATCACTTGGGTTTCTGTCTTCTGTAAATCCTTAACTTATAAAGGCCTAATTTCAAAATGAAGCTTGCCTTAAAAACCTGATTTAAAAGGGATATTTTTAGCCGTTTAATATCATCTTTTTAAATCATCAAGAAAAAAAAAAAAACATTTTTTTGTCTGCAACAAAATGTATCGAAAAGCCCAAATATTTGATTGTTATACACATGCACATACATACAATTGCCGGTTATACACATGCCTACCGAATGAAATTGAAAATGCCATTTAACATTCTTTATTTGTCATCATCGTCATCGGCATTACGTATTGCCAGCCATATCATTTGTATCTATCGAACTTGTTCTATCGAAATTGTTCTATCAACAATTAAATAAAGAATTAATTCTGTCGGCAATCTCTTTCAATTAAAAGTGACGATTCAAATTCATTTCTCTAATAAATGGTGTTCAGTATTTAATTACAGAGACACATCTGTGTGTGCCCATGTATGTAAATACCCAGCAGTATAGAGAGATGGGGTAGCGTTTGCGCTTAATCGTTATCTATTTATTTTATTTTTGTCATTTTATAGTACCAATTCAAAACAATCAATTGAGCGAGTTGTCAAAATGTCATAAACACGCGATTTTTTTTTAAATGTTTTGTTCAATCATTAACCCCCTAAGTTAGTAAAAGACTGGATATTTGTTTGTGCTTCGTTTATGATCGACAAGACAAGAGAAAAATTCCATACTCGTGTTTTATTTGTTTGTTTCTAAAAAAAGTTTTTTTTTTATTTTTATTGTTTGTTATTGTTCTTAAAATAATTTTATAATTCATGAAATTGTTTAATTATTCTCAAAATGCATTTATCAATTTTGGTTGCTTGTATGTAGGTGGACATTTTAGTAATTATACCCTCAGCGATATGGCTACAGAGGGTATATATCATTTAATATGGACAAAACGTGCCTCATCGAAATAACGTTTTTAGAGCCTAGGTCTCTTTGGACTAAATCCCTTTCAGGACATTTGGAGTCGATCTAGCGATGTCCCTCCGCCCTTCCATCGGTCTGTTTGTCTGTCTGGCTGGTGCGCACCATAACTCTCGAACAGAGTATCCGATTTGATTCAAACTTCGTACATCGTATTATTATTGTCAAACCTAGATCGAGGTCGGAGATGAGCAATTTCGGCGCACTCCTACATGTACCTCCCCCCACAAAATGTCAAAATTTTCAAAGAAAATAATTTATTGCACAGAAAGAGAAAGGATAATCCGATTTTGCTCGAACTTTGCAATTCCTAATATTTGCATCAGAGCTAGGTCAGGTGCGAAAATGGACAATATCGGTCCACTCTTTCAAATGCCGCCCCCACAAAGGGTCAACATATTGGCTAACTGGGGGGTATACATCTGTCGGTAAAACCAACTCATACTATTTTACTTGTTTTATTTATAGTTCTAAGAAAATTTGGGTAGAAATTACGATTTTTTCAAAATATCATATACTAAATGATAGTATTAACGTAGATCATACTGTAAATGATTTGATTGTTAAAATTTTTATTAAACAGACCTAATTACGATTAATTGCAAAACCAAATGCAACAGTTGTATTTACCTATATATACAGCGAAAGCAGTATGGCGCAAAATAATGGAAAATAAAAACAAGTTAAAAAGTATCAGTCGGTTTGGCTGACAGATGCATACCCACAGCCAATGTTCGATTATTTAAATATATTTTAACTTCTCTTATGATTTTTCATATGTTTGCCTTCTAGAGAGTAGGTTCCGAAGGAATGAGCCAATTTTGTTCCTTTCGTATCGGACCTAAATAAATATGATATAAATATTGCGACGTGCCAGTTTCGCACTATATTGGTTACTTCCTTCACTTTATGTGAAATATGTGATCATTTTTGGAAAATATAAAAATGAGCGTGAGTTACCGTATATGGTCGACCGAAGTATTCCATGTTAATACTTCATTTAATATGGGCAAAATTACAAGAAAATCGATCATTTATATCCAATTTTATGCGAAATCATAAGTTCCATATTCATTCCAGGTTTCTGTTTGAGAAACATATATACAGGGTGAGATGAAAAAAACTGCAACCAACTTCAGACTGCTGTCATTTCTAAGCCACTCGTCCGACAGCTGTTAAAATTATTCCAATGACAGTACAAAAGCATTTTGGAGAGAATTTTCCAGAAAAAAAGTTATTCGTGATAGAATTCAAGCGTGATAGTGTGCAACAGAAAAGAGCTAAAAAGTTGCTTCGCTTGGCCGAAAGTGATGAACTGTGTTTCTCCGATGAGAAAACATTCGTTGGCCAGTAGTTTGTAAACAAACAAAATGATCGTGTTAACTTGCCCAAGAAGTCAGGTGAAAATTTGCACCTTCGGTTGGCCACCAGAACTCAAGCGCCGGCCATGGTGATGGTGTGGGCCGCCATAACAGCCGATGGTCGCTCTCCGCTCGTATTAATCGACCGTGGTATTAGAATAAATGCCGAATATTATCGCGAAAATATTCTGGAGGGTGTATTAAAGACTTGGACACACAAACATTTTGGCCGCAGAACTGGAACATCCCAACAGGACTCAGCAACATCGCACTCAGCACGCGCCACCCAAGAATGATTACAAAATGAGGTTGCTCGCTTCATTTCCAGCTCACAATGACCAGCAAAATCTCCGGATACCAATCCGTTGGACTATTGTGTCTGGAGTATTTTGGAAAGCAAGGTTGGCAATAAAAATGCCAAAGTATCAATCACCTCAAGCAAGCCGTTCGGCGGGAATAGGCCAAAATACCGCAGAGCAACATTCGGGCAGCGTGTGACGGTTTCATGGCCGTTTGAAGGCCATAATTTGTGCCGAAGGTGACCAATTCAAAGAAATCTAAACGTATTCTAAAATTTTATGCTATTTCCGACATGTTTGCTTTCATTCAATAAACTTTGAAAAAAAAATGTAAAAATTAAGGCGTTAGCCATATGACTGAGGGCACAATTAATTATTCAAAATAATACTTAATTACAAAAATATACATACCTAACCTAGAATTTTTATGCATAGTTTTTTTACAATACTTTTACATTCGATTAACAAATAATGCACACAAATTTGTCCTGGCTAGTAAAGTTAAGATTCCATTAATGGTATAAATGTCAAAACTACTAGCAACAACTATGTTTAGATATAGCTCTTGTCTAGCTAGTTGGGTGAGACAGTATCTTTACGGTTACAACCTCTGTTGGTTAGTCTGACATGAAAAGGGTTAATTTATTAATAATTACAAAGCAAACACTCACGTTTTGTGGAAAAACAATGCCGTAATATGATCTGCTGACAAGTTGATTTCTTATAATTTTAGCCATATAAGTCATATACTGCCCTCAATATCCATACTCAGATGTAATTATACACGTTGCTGTATTTCTATATACAGTTCTCTTAACAGCCTTCTCCTCAATTTTGTCAACGGTGTCGGTATTTCATCTCTTTCTCTTATTGTTTTTGCCTTCTTTACAGCTTTGCTCGCGAGAATTTATTACATCAACAAAACTTTTATTGCATCAACCTACACACAATGCGACAGATTGGCGCAAACGTTTTCAATGTGAAATTTGTTCGGCATTTTTTGCAACATCATCGAATTTCAAATCACACAAATTGACACACGCGACCGTTCGTAATTATTCATGTGAAATGTGTAAGATGTCATTTAAATCGCAACGGAATTTAAAACGACATCAAGCTGTGCATCAAGCCATCGATAGCGATGAACGGCAAGACAGTGAGATCTTTTGTCAAATATGTGGAAAATCATTTAGCAAACATGCATCATTGAGTGCCCACCTGACAATGGTGCATCGTCGTGTACGTAAACATAAATGCAGCGAATGTGATAAGATTTTTGGCAAGAAATCAAATCTTATCAACCACATGAGGTTCGATGAATTGATTAACAAAAAACACACTACGAAATTGACAAAGTAAATGTTTTTTTTTTTTTGATTTTCTTTGTAGAACACACAGTGGCGAGAAGCCTTTCGAATGTCCCACATGCTATTGGAAATTTGCTCAATCATCGTCGTTGAGAAGACACATGAAAAAGCATAACAAAAGGTAAATCAATCAACACCTGTGATGCTTACCGAAAGGCCAGCAAACTGTCCTGGCACATTTCTTCAAACTTGTGACATCGTTTTTTCTTTTGGTGGTATTTTTTTATTAAAAAACAATATTTCCTATCTTTTACAAATTGTTCTTTTGCAGTGGTCCAGTAACATTATAAACCTAATAACAACTCACATTCATTACGTTTTCTTTTGATACTCCTCATATAAACGTAATAGCTCTGAACTTGTTCGAGGCCTCACCACTGTTAAGGCATAATCGAATTGTGTCATAGTTACAGCGGTTGCATCAAAACTTTCCTCCAATGTTTTGAGGGCAGCCTCATGACATACAGCCTGTATTTCGGCACCCGAATAACCTTCGGTACGTTGGACCAATTCATCAATTTTCACATCTTCTGCCAAGGGCATTTTCTTCAGTTTTATTGAGAAAATTTGACGTCTTGCTTCAGCATTGGGTAGGCCAACATAGATGATACGATCAATACGTCCGGGTCGTAATAGGGCTTTATCAATCATATCTGGACGGTTTGTGGCCGCAACAATGGTAACATTTTGTAAGGACTCAACGCCATCCATTTCAGTTAGAAGTTGGGTTAGAACACGTTCTTTGACCGAACTACCCGAACCACCAGAAGCTCCCTCTGAACGTTCTCCGCCAATGGCATCAATTTCATCGAAAAAGACAATAGATGGCGCCACTTGTCGAGCTTTGCGAAAAACTTCTCTAACCGCCCGTTCGGATTCACCAACCCACATTGAGAACAGCTCAGGGCCTTTGATAGACAGAAAATTTAATTGACTCTCTGTGGCCAAAGCTTTGGCTATCATGGTTTTGGAACAACCCGGAGGACCATACATTAATATGCCACGAGGTGGTTTAATGCCCAAACGTTGAAACTGCTCGGCATGTTTTAAAGGCCATTCTATGGCTTGCTGTAGCTTCAATTTCAATTCATCTTGACCACCTATATCAGACCATCGCACATTGGGACATTCTATTAAGACCTCACGCATGGCAGAGGGTTTGACAATCAACAAAGCCGAATTAATATCCTCCATTTGTAGTACAACATCGCCGGCTTTGAATGCATTTATCATGGCTTTCAGTGTGGCATTATAAATGAGATTAGCCAAATCGGCTCCCACAAAACCGTGAGTTATTTGAGCTATTTCATGTATATCTTCCTCCCGGAGTTTATGTTTCTCCACTTTCTTCAGCAAACAGTGTAATATTTCTTCCCTACCAACTGGAGTTGGTGCCGCTACCTCCACTTCACAATCCAAACGTCCACATCGCCGAATACTGGGATTTAGCAATTCAATATTGGAGGTAGTGGCAAGGACAAAACATTTTTGAGCTTCCCTCTTGTGGCTCAACGAATCGAGTAAATTAAAGAATGCTATTGCTACACGTTTTACAACATCATTGGTTTCTTGTTTCGGACAGAGATTGTGAACATCTTCAATAACGACCAGCGACGGGTGGGGATAATGTTGGAAGACCTTGTCAAATTGAATATTCAAATTCTTTTCTGTTTCACCCAAGAATTTGCTAAACAATTCACTTGTATTCAAGCGTAGTATTAGAGGATTGAATGTGGATTTTGTCAGTTGCTGCTGTTGTAACAACTTGCTGGACATTGCTTCACACATCATTGTTTTGCCACAGCCTGATGAACCGTAAACTAGCAGACCGCGTGATATTTTAACACCTGTAATAAATACAAATAAATTAAAGTAAACTAAAGAACTTAATATTAAATTTTATATTATTTGAAAAATGTTCCAAATCGATGTTATTTCAATAGAAAAACAATCATAGTCCTGTTGTATTCAGACTCCAAATAGAGGATTTTTATAATTTAAAATCGTTTGGAAAAAAGAAGGTCACGAAATTGTAGTCCAATTTATAAAAACGTCCAGAAAAAGGGAGATATTTACCTTTGGGAATCTCACGCAAACCCAGTGCAAAATCGATTGCTTCCTCTATAATATTCAATTGTGGATGTAGGCCACCAATATCATCTTTCGTTATCGAGTAGCCAGACTCCTCCAGACCATTATTATCTGAATTCTTCCAACTATCACTCGAAATTTTGATTTCCGTTGAATTTGTCACTTTAAATATATCTCCCACTGAGCTCGAGTCCAAACTTAATTTGTCAAAAGTTCTTTCAAGTTCGCCAGAATTCGACGTATTTGCTGCTACACTTGTACCATCCAAGACAAGGAGCTTCAATTGTTTGTTAAAAAAATTATAATGGATAATAGAATTTTTGGCAAAGCAAAGATTTTTCAATTCATGTTTTAGTAAACGTTCCAGATCTTTTAATTGTTGTTCATTTAAATCTATGGGTTCTGGTTCCTCTGTGTGAATTGTTAACACTAAACTTTTTGCAGTTACGGGCTGTCCTTTGGGTAGACATTGTATTTGCCAGATGTGCCCCCTATAGTTGGACCAGTTATTTTTGAAATCTATAAACGAAAAAAATATTAAATTTAATATTCATTATAATCCGATAATAATAATGTAATACCTACCCTCCTCATTGACAAATATGGTGGTTAGAAATTTATCCGGTATTGGCCAAACACTGCGCACATATGTCACATTTTCTTTGGTAGATTTGATCAGCAGTTGTTGCCCAATATGAAATCCAGATAAACGTATCGCCCCTTCCGATATGAATATCATATTATTTAAATATTTTTCAGGCATATCCTTTAGGGTTTCTATTTCGTACTTTCTCACCTCCATGCTGCTGGAGTAGAAGACACCCTTGCGTATGTATTCCAAAGGTTCACCTTTCTTGTTCTCATATTGACCGGCTCCGATTGGACACACATTTTCATGTCTTTCCCGATCGTTGGACGTAATGTGGGCATCACATTTTTCACAGGTATACCAAATTGCGGCAGCTTTATTTGAACTCTTTTTATTGGAGGATTTTGGTGGCATATTTAAGGAGTCTAAGATCTTCAAAGAATCTCATGCGGCATGGATTGGATTTGTTTACAAAATATAGAAGCATGAGTCCAATCAGACAACGAAGTGGGAAGAATTTTTTGACGGCGACGTTGGCTCATCAGGTGTAAAAATGATAAAAATAATAAGGGTAGTCGTGCCAACACAGTTGAATAAATAAAAGCAACGATTTGTTAGAAAAAAAAAGATGACAATACAATATTATTTGACTTCTTTGCTAAATCTCATATGGCAACCCTTTTCCAACGAATTCGACCTTGTCATTTTTCAAAGAGAAATTATTTTGACATACCTAAAATGCTTACGTATGACGAGTGGCATATTTTGCAAACACAATAAATAAGCCATGAAATAAGCTTTTATTTTTGGATTTTCTTGGTACGTAAAAACGTTTATTCGTTCCAAATCGTAGGGAAAAGAATTTTATTTATATATAAAAATATATATCGGAGCCGAGTTCCACAAAATGAAAAGGTAAGTCCCAAAATTCGCTCCATTTGTGCTGATATTAGTCATTTTTTGCACGATAAACCTGATCTCCAAATCTTAGCCGATCTCGATAAAATTTGGCAAAGGTATTTCTGAGCTCTATAAGATATAAGATAGATCTGGTACCAAATATCATTGTTGTCAAATGCATATTACGCTTGAGAGTAACTTTTTTAGATGTTTTTAGATGTTTTTATTTTAGAATAATGTTTGCGTGCCAAAGGCTTTAATACACCCTCCAGAAAATTTCGGCATTTATTCTGATGCCACGGTCGATTAATACGAGAGGTCGATTAATACGAGCTGTTATGGCGGCCCACACCATCACCATGGCCGGCGCTTGACTTCTGTTGACCAGTCGAATGTGCACATTTCAGCTGACCTCTTTGGCAAGTAAACACGATCATTTTGTTTCTTTACACACTGCTGGACTACGAATGTTTCCTCATCGGAGAAAACCAAATTCGGCAGCTCACCACTTTCGGCCAAGCGAAACAACTCTGTAGCTCTTTTGAGTCTATTTTCTTTCTGTAGTGGTGTAACTTCTTGCAATTTTTGGAATTTCAATGGCTTTACCCCGAGCTCATTTTTCAATATTTGCCGAATGGGATATTGCAATATGTTCAGCGCACGAGCCATTTTTCGGCCACTGCTACGCGGGTTTCGATCAAGTCACTTATTTACTTTCCGAACCATTTCTTCTGATGTTGTTGTTTTCTTCCGTTCACTTCCACTTTTCTTGACGTGGGGCTACGCTACCAGTATCACGGTAACGATCGATGGTACTAGAAACAAAATATTTATTCACTTTTAAATGCTGGAGTGCTCTAACCATAGACACTTGTGGTTTTCCAGCCAAATATAAAGAAATCACGCTTGAATTCCATCACGAATAACTTTTTTTCTGGAAAATTCTCAAAAAAATTCTTCTGTACGGTTCTACAATATATAACATATAATGAGCTGTCACTGGAATAATTTTAACAGCTGTCGGACGAGTGGCTTAGAAATGACAGCAGTCTGTAGTTGGTTGCAGTTTTTTCATCTCACCCTATATGGGAGCTATAGCTATATCTGAACCGATTTTCTCCGTTTTCGATGTACTTGCTTCTGAACTACATACGGTCGGAAGTACAAAAATGCATGTCATTTGGACTGATATTAACCCTTATGGTTAAACTTTGAAATTCGAAAATGTTTAATAAAACCATTTTTCTCCAAAATGCAAGTATTTATTATTTTTTTTTTGGTAACACATAAATAATAGGTTTTATAAATGTATTCAATATAGGTATATATAAGATATTTCTTTAATGTACAAATCTCCAAATCATTAAAGATAACGATTTTAAATTTTCTATTTAAAATCATATGGAAAATAATGAAACAGAATTTTGAAAACTATTTGCGGAAAATAGTATTTTTGCTAGCTACTTTTTGTGATTTAAATTGTATTAATATGGGAAAGAATGAATTACACAGTATTTGTAACGAATCATCACCATAGATGATGATAATTAAGAAGTAATGACAAGAACCGAATATGTTTCCTTATTGCAACAACAAATCAGTTTCTAAAGCATTACAAGCCATTAAATCCTTTTCCAATTGTTTTGTACTCTCAGCAGCTGAAGAAGATTTTTGATTTAGAAACAAATCAAAATCATATGTTCCATTGGAAGGTGATAGCGGGGTTTGTGTTATGCTGTTTCCTAACGAAAATGGATCAGTAGCAGGATGATTAGAAGAAGCTGTTAGATCAATACCCAAAAGCCCAAGATCTTTTAGGAGTTGATCGTTTTCATTTAGGTTTGTGGTTGATTGTTTTGTGGTCAGTGTCTCTGCAGTATTTGTGTTCTCAGTTAAGAAGAGGATATCTTCTGAGACATTTGCCTTGGCGGCTGGAACATTTATTATGGCTGCGGGGTTTTCCACTGCCTCCACACCGCATACAATTTCACCCACTTTACTAGTGCTAGAGGATTTCTTTGCCGCCTGCTGTTGTTCTTCCTCTTCGTCATCATCGAGTTTTTGTGGCTCCAGGATTTTTGATTTATACTGGAAATCAGTTTCCTTAAAATCAACTTCTATGGGAAAGAGATTTGGTAATGTCTCCATGCGCTCCACAATAGACGAACAGAGTTGCCTTAGACAATCTAACAGGCTGCGCAGCTGTTTTGTTAAATCATTGGCATGTTTACATTCCAGTAACTCCATTTTTTCCAAGACATCAGTTCTTAGTTTGGCAAATTTCGTGCGGGCATCTTGACGACATCTTAATATGAGACGATATTCATAGTTGCCGGTTTCGACGCGATAAAGTGGCTCTTGAATGGCACTAAAGCCATGTTCCTCGTCATCCATTTCCTTGACCTTCAGACAATACGATAAATAGGTAAATTTGGCATCCATATAACGTTTTACAGTTAGCTTTGTATCCGGTATGGCTTTATGTAGATATGTCCCCAAATCATCCAATATTGGTTTGATTTTCTTTATTATAGCCAGACCATCTTTTTCCAAATTTCTATGAAATTCTCCAAACAGGCGAAATGCCTCGGAAGCTCTCATCTGAGGCTCTCGGGTGCTTATGCGCATAAAACAATCACCAAATGCCCGATAACTTTGTAATAGATCATAATAAGCTTTGAGCATGCGACGGGCATGATCCACCATGCCTTTATACATCATTTCAGTACCCTCCAATTCTTCAAGTCTCTTGACCAGGGAATCGTTACAAAGTATCGCTCTAGATAAACCCAGTGTGTCGGCCGTATTACTGGACATATTATCAACAATTCGATGTTTTAATTTTTTTAATATAATGTCCAGCGATTTTCCTCTTTCCGGGTCAGCGTGTAATTTATTGTAGTGTATGGTGACTTGTTGGCTGGCAGCTTGAATCATTTTGGCCACTTGTACCTTGGTCTTGCCCTTTACACTGGTACTATTTATGGCCAGCAGTTCGTCACCGCTTTCAAGCGAGCCCTCCTTGGCGGCAGGTGTACCATCGAAAACCTGAAAATAAATTGTGCAACGAAATTTATTACGAATTTGAAAAAGTTTTTCATTTCATACCTGTACAATATACAAACATGGACACAATGGGGCACCACCGCCAATGCTAATGCCTATGAGATTGGTGTCATCCTTAACTATCACCACAGATTTTGTACTGACCGTCATGCCCCTGTCAAGATAAAGGAAATTGATTAGTTTGATATTTAGAAAATAAGTAATAGTGAGAAGTTTCATATTGGGAGGCGGTGTTCTAGGTACAACATATAAAACTGGCCACTAGGTGTTTTTTAAGGTTGTAACAAACGGCACAAATGATAAGTGATTTTCCAAACCATCTATGAATGGCAAATTACTGTTCTTCAAATTGGGGAACAAGGGACGATGATAGCCTTGAGGCCACTAATGATGTAATGGAACTAACTCTACCCACTTTTTAAGATCTTATTATTAAAATTATTCTAGCAGATTAATTAATATTGTCATATTGATGGCTCTATCCTTCTATCGTAGTATGGGAGACTTTATCGAAACTTACAATCTTTCTAATTCGAATTTTTGTTTAGTAAAATCATCAAACTTTTCCGATTCAAATGAAGTGGCAGTATAAACAACTGTTGTTACATCGCCCGTCACTAAATCATCATCGACAATTGTCAAATTGTCGTCACAAGATGCTTCTGCCATCGAATCACCATTTTCCTCCATGGGTTTGGTCTCTTCATCATTTGTAATGTTTATCAGTTGGTTTGATTCTATTGCAGCTTCTTGGGATTCTTTAGCCGATGTAATGCTATTGCTGGATGTGGCAATTGGTGTAATATCAAAGCTTTGGAAAAAGAAGACATACACACAGACAAAGAAATGTAGGTTAAGTTTTTGATACGTCTTTGTTGTAATGAGTTATGGGATTCCTTTCCTTAAATAATTGACTTACGATAAGGCCTCTATTGGTAATAAAGGTGCATTATTGTCTTCCATTTCGGGTTTTGAACTTTTTTGTGTGGTATAATTGTCAAAGAAAAAAGTTGTTGTTAAACAAAAACGTTAATAAATTATTATCTTTTTAAGTTATAAAATAACAACAAAAATTGGACGGAAAAAAATCTTGGCTTTCGCAAATGAATTTTTCTTTTGCTCTGGGTAGTATCGATTAGTAACAGCAAGCGAAAACTTGCTCACACACTCACTCACTCTCTTATCTCTCAAGAGAAAGAGAGAGTTAAAAACAGCCGCCTTCTTTGGTTGCAACCCCATCAACTCCCCACCGAATCGTTGAAACCATAACAAAATTCGACGATTGAGAAAAATAAACGCCAACAAAAAACATTCAACATATGTTGAACGGTGTTGTCTTCTTGTGGCATTCACCAAATCTTGATGTGATAAATTCCACTTACATTTTATCTTCTTCAAAGAAGAAATCATCATCTGTGTCCGTTAACATCTCGGCCGATTGATTTAAACAATTTTCTTGCTTAAGAAATCCGCAAAATACCGTTAAAATAACACCAAATATTCTTTGCAAAAATAGAAGTATACTTTTAGTTGTTTGCGTTAAGAAGGGGTATGTACAATGAGAGATATGACAAGTGTCACACATTCACAATAACGTCTTAATTAGAGTTGATATTTTTTAACAACAGTGTTGCCGTGTTAACTCTTAAACACGCTATTTAATGGGGATTTTGTATAAAATAATAATAATATAAAACATAATATTGAAAAAATGTGCTAATATTGAAATATTTGAGATAAGTCAACGCAATTTAACACTTTGATGATTTTTAGATTTAGTTGGTTTTAATAGAGTTATGGTTATGGCGTATTTGGTTTATATGACCATATCTTTGTAAGCAACGCAGCCACTTTGGTAAGCTTACGGTTTGTTAAGGAATAGTTGACATTTTGTGTTGGACTCATATGTCTGTAAACCGATGAATTAAGTTTGCGGAAAGATTGTTTATGGGGGCCATACGAAAACGTAAACCAGCAAAGACAATTTTCTATCATAAGCTGTAATATCTATTATGAACTTCAAATACCAAATTTGAAACAATTCCGGTGAATAATGTCGCTCAAATCATCAAAGTACCGAATATCGGGAGGTACCCATATAACGGAGATATACGAAGACGTGGACCTACATTGCCCATTTTCAATACCAAAATTCCTGTAGACATAATATATATTTGAGTAAAATTTGATCAACCTACGTCATTTCGTTGGGAAGCTAGACTGATTTCCACAGACGGATGGACATCGCTAAATCGACATAGTATTTTATGCTGATCAAGAATATATATACTTTGTGAGGTCTAAAATATATATTTCGAGGAGTTACAAACGTAACGACAAACTTAATATACCCTCCATACTATGCTGGAGGGTATAAAAAAAGAATAGATTGGTTAAATTTGTTTGTTTGTTTACAAAACAACTGATTATTGAACAACTGATGTTGCTGGATAAATCTTACTGGGGAAAGTTTCCCAGTAAGATTTTGCAAACTCTCACTAATTAAAATGTCTCTCTCATTTCGCTCTCACTTACTGGAATTTTGGGTAAACAAACAGTTTCCAGTAAAAAATTGTACAAATTATGGAGTAAACGAACCCTCCTATTTATATCTTGCACCGCTATGGGATAGTTTTTTGAGCGCCCAACATTCTTTAAACTTTGCATCAAATTCAACAACTTCCATTAATATTTTCTTCTTCTAACAATTTATCAACATCATTTACTCTGGGTCTTGAATGTATGCTTCTTTTTACAAAAACGCATGCTTGGGCTGTATGAATGCCTCTAAATAAGTTCTGTTTTTAACTCTTTCAAACATTCCTAAGGTGGAGATATATTGAGTTTCTTTTACCGGCTAAGCCACCGTTTTCTTTCATAAAAAAAACACTACAAAAAGTAAGCAGACAGCATCATTATCCTCAATTGTCGTTTGTTTGATGTTCTTTCACATTTTTACAAAGTCAAAAATTTATAGCATTTACTGTCTTTTAAAAATGCCACACATTAGGTCTACATACAAGAGCAACGAAGCATAAGGCGAAAAAGTATATATTATGAGCCAAAATTGAACTCGGAAGTCAACATAAAACTCCATTGTTCTTTTTTGAAGATGCCAGCCGATGACCTAAGCCAGATAGAAAAGCCCTTTATGTACTGCACCTTAAGCTATTTTAATGCTCATTCGTAAGAAGTAAGTAGACAGGGCAAATTCGTTATAACAAAAATATGTGTTATATAACTGTTCTTAGTACTTCGAATATTTTGAATTCACCAATGCTTCTAGTCACCTGTTCCATTCACAATAGCATCTCTGTTTTAGCATTAGTTCCTTAGTTCATTCAGTGAAAATCGCAGCTGGGCAGAAATTGGCAGTCGTTGTTTTTGTTTTGTTTTTTAACTTTATTGCACACTCCCGTTTTGTTGTTCGTACCTATCTTCGACGGCGATGTTTTCTAATGAAGCTTTGTAGTCTAATTATTTTTTTGTAACACGTAGCCTCCGAGGCAAGGTAATGTACTAGGTAACATCAGCCCAGCTGACGGCACCATTAAATGTCAAAACAAATTGTTGTAATGAAGAATTCGCCCTAAATGAATGCAACAACAAATTTGTTTATGTTGTCTTCCCTAAAACTATTTTTATAATATTTCAAATAATTTAAGAGCAAGTTAAGAGTGAAACCAGTAAAAATAATTAAAAGAAAATGAAGGAAGGAGTATAGAATGGAGTGCAGCTTTAAGAATTAAGTTAGCCTCAACATCTAAGATTCCCAAAGCAGATCACGGGAAGTGGTGCAAGAATTCGACTCTTGTCATTTGCAGTTCCGGAAAACTTTCGGTTTAAACCAGTAAAATATAGTCATTATAAGTTTCTTGATTTAAAAAATATCGCAATACTACAATTAATGCTAGGAACACAATTGGAGCGAACGACGAATTTCGCCCTACGCGGCGACAAAATGAGCCGCGAAAATTCGTCGTATGGAACACAATACCGACGAAATTATAAAACAGCTGATGAAGTTGTTTACTTTTTGCTCATTTGATGACTACAATGAATTATACAAGAACACATAATTCTTTACGTTCTCTATTATAATTTCACTTATGTCCATCTTCTCTATTATAAATTCACTGATATCCATCTTCACTCAGGCGCAAGTACACAAATAAATAAACAAATTAATTAAGATTTTTTAAATACGAGTAACAGATAGTAGAGTGACCATAACAAATTTTAAAGTAAAAAGTAACTTTATTTACTAAAACACATAAAATTCGTACAAGTATGGCCACCTTGTACTGTTTTGTTCGCCGGTCGCCGGCGTATGAAATAGAAATAAAGCTAATTGAGTTCGCGGCGACCGACGAAATTTTCGCCGGTGCCGTGATTGTGTGCACTTCCATATACACATATGTGTTTTATTTTTGACGACGAACATACGCCGCGAAAAAATTCGTCGTTCGCTCCAATTGTGTTCCTAGCATAATACTTATTTTACTCTTATTTGTTTTACAATAAAAACTTTTATTGCGAAGTTCGTTTACGACGAGAGGCACACAAAATAAAATGTAAACAAACACCTCGTTTCTGATTGGTTGAAACAAATTTGCCGCAACCTTTAAATGTCATGGCGAATCTATGTTTTTCGCCTTAGATGTCAATTTTGACATTTGAGGGGACCACAAAAGTTGCTTTGTTGTAGCAATTCGCCGATGCGGTTACCTGTTAGATCTACCTTGCCCCGAGGAATATTTTGTAATTTTGTTTTAAGTTATTGCGAAAATAAATATGATAAAGCTACGGTTTGACGGCCTATTAATAGTGCAAATAATAGGCTTAGCTCTGCTCGCCCAAAACATTACATCACATGAAGCCAAGGATTTCGATGATACCATTTTATATAAAATTGATTTCGACATTCCCGATTTCGATCAAAATCCAGTGAGTAAATATTATTTTTATAAAGACAAAACATGTTCAAATGTTTTTTTTGTTTTGCTATTGTAGGAACTTAAGAATCAAATACGCACATTCTACACTCACGAAAAGGAGGAGTATCATTGTGTCATACCCTCTGTGACAGAGGCCAAAGAAGAAACCAAATCCGATGAGCCGGAGCTATGTGAGTAAATGATGGTTTCAAGGGGGAAGTATCAGATTTCATGATTTTTGTACGTATTTCAGCTCCCTTTGCATTGCTGAAAAGCATTTTCAATACCCCCAGCTGTTCATATCGCATTGAGGCCTATTGGTCTTACGAGATTTGCCATGGCCTTCATGTGCGCCAGTATCACGAAGAACGTGAGGGTAAGGCTGTTAAATTCCAAGAATACTATTTGGGCAAATGGAATGACGATAAGTCGGAACAATTACAAAAGGAATGGGAGGAGAGTCGCAAGGCTGGCATGAAATATAAGACCACCAAAATCGACAACATCAAATATCCCTACTTTGAAATGGAATTCACTGATGGTACCAAATGTGACATTATCAATGCACCGCGTACAACAATTGTGCGATACGTTTGTTATCCTCATGGCAAGAATGAAATTTACTCATTCAAAGAAACCTCATCTTGTAATTATGAGGCAATTATCCTTACCTCAGCATTGTGTGTCATACCCGCATTTCATCCGGAAGAATATAAGGAGACGTCGATTAAATGTTACAATTCTCCCGATGATGCGCATAAGCCATTAAGTATGTTGCGCCAGGAGTTGAATGAAATGCAATTGTCATTGGATGAGTTTCCAGTTTCGAAGGAGGACAGTGATACATCAAGTGAAGGACGTTTTGCTTATTTCAATCGCATCGGAGAAGACGTGGATAAAATTGTACTGAGCATTACCAAAGATGGTAGTCTTACTGCCCATACAGCTGACACCAGTGCAGAGGAGACGAGTGCCCTGAAAACTCCTCCCACAACTCCGGCTTTACAGGATCTCACGCCGTTGCTCGAATTTGTAAAGGGTAAAAAATGTCTAACAGGGGTAGGTTTAAGAGTAATTTAAAATTGTGGATATTTTGTTAATAATCATCCCATTTCCAGGGAACCGGCTGGTGGAAATATGAGTTCTGTTATGGCAACTATGTTCGTCAATTCCACAAAGACAAAAAATCGGAAACTGAGCTATTTCTGGGACATTTCAGTGCCACTGCCCATCGTCAATGGTTGCAGGCTAATCCCGACAAAAGACCTCAGGCTCAATCCTCTTCCATATGGCATCATTATGAGAAAGGTTCTCGCTGTGACAAAACTGGTTTACCTCGTGAAGTTGATGTCAAACTCACGTGCAGTGGTGGTGGTGGCGCCGGTGGCATGGGCTCTCTTAATCCCAGTGCTGTTTCCATGTATTTATTGGAACCAAAAACATGTCAATATATTTTGGTTTTCGAGGCACCAATTGTATGTGCCCTAACGGGCTATACCGATGAATATGGTCTGATAGATGAAGAGAAATTGACAAAGCTGATACAAGAGAAAGAAAGCAGCAGTTCATCTAAGTCAAATGCAGAACAAATGGAATCTTCTAATACAGCTGGCAAGGATGGTGCCCCCATTATTAGGTTTTAGTTCATTGTTTTATTGTGATTTTTTCTTAATATTAGTTGAGGGGTTTTTCAAAGACTTTAACAATACACAATGTGTTTGCATTAAATTAATTTAAAACAAGGAGATCAATTTAAATAAGTTTTTGAATAACAAATTAAATACTAAATTCAATCTGAATTGGTTTCCGGCAATTCATCGGGTTTCAATTCCAATTTTTTAGGCTTTTCTATGGGTTTATCTGAATGTATTTCTGCCACAACATCGGTAAATAACTTTTGCCATTCCCACACTTCATCGGGCTCATCGAGAACTTCTTGCGGCTGCAGACACTTGGTCAAGATCGATAAATCCACATCTTCTATAACCGAGAAAGCTGTTTGAGCCAATAAATCGGAGTTAAGTTCTTTTAAAGTGACCACACGATCAACGGCAAATCTGTAAATAAAAAAATAAATGTTTTGTTATTATTTCTAATCTGCAGAATCAGAATTAGTGTCTTCTGAAATTCGCGTCCGATCTCGAAAAAATTTGCAAAGGTATTTCTGGTACCAAATATCATGGTTTTCGAATGCATATTACGAATGTGAGGGTCTTTAACACGAAATCGGATTAAATATATATATGGGAGCTATAGCTATATCTGAACAGATTTTCACCGAATTCGATGTACTTGCTTCCTGACTAAATTCGGTCGGAGTTGCCAAAATTTAGGTCATTGGACTGATATTGCGCATTTGGTGCACAATTAACCCGAAATCGGATGAGGATATATATATTGGAGTTATATCCAAATCTGAACCGATCTTGATAAAATTTGGTTTAGGTATTTCTGGGCTGTATGTGATATCTGGTATTAAATATCATTGTTATAGAATGCATATTACGAATCTGAGGGACTTTAAATCCCAAATCGGATGAAACATATATAGGGGAGCTATATTTTCACTGAATTCGATGTACTTGCTTCTAGACTAAATTCGGTCGGATGTGCCAAAATTCAAGACATTTGGACTGATATTGGCAGTGTCCAGTGATATTGGCAATGCGACCTACATTTGGTTCACAAAAATACCTGAACAGACGGATGGACTGACATGCATGAATGGACTCAGAAAGTGATCCTATGAAGATTCACAAAAGAAACTATGGGTCTATCTCCCTCCTTCCCCAGGTTACAAACAAATACACAAAGACCTACCATGTGGTGTAGGGTATAATTAATAAATTAATAAATTTAATTGAGGAAGGAAAATCCTCTTTTTTTTTCTTATAAAACTTACATATTCTTCTCATTTACTTACGATTCTGGCTGGGCTATTTCATGCATTATCATTTCATCTTTTATGTCATCTAAATCCGGAATTATGGGTATATCATCTATGGGTGATGTATTCTCCGATGATTTAATACCAAAACGTTCGCTGTCAACAAGTAAAGCAGTTGATTAGTTTACTTTTTAATAAATAATAAAAAAACTAAATTAAACTCACTCTTCAAAAGAACCCTTCTTAGATCTAAATAAAAAAAGAAAAACATTGACATTAAATTGTTAATAAAATATTTTTTTAAATCAATTACTGTTAAATTAATATTCTATTTAATGGATAGCAACTTACTTGAGTTTACCACCACTTGCCGAATCGGCCCAGCCACCAGATATTCTTCGCAACATTGGTGGTCTCTTTGAGTCACCCGACAACAAACTGGAGAGGACACCAGCACCTGTGGCTCCTCCCGACGTTGTAGAGTCCGGTGAAAATGTACCCGATATATTATTACCAGTTGATGCTGTATTCGTTTGTCTTTGTGTTTGTAAATCCAAATTCAAGTCTATTGATAACTCGGGATTTGTTGAATTCTGAGCTGTACTGCTGGACGTTTGTGGCGAATCTTTGAGCACATCTCGGCTCTTGGAACGTCTACCTTTGCGGGCAGTAGTCTTAGAATGTAAAAATAATTAATTTTTAGATTTATTTCAGCTATACATGTTTTATATTTATACCTTCCTTATGGACATTTTCAATTCTTCAGCCCAATCCATTTTGTTATGGAATTATGTTAGGGATTTTATTGATCTCTAAGAAAAGTTAAAGTTATGTGTACTGTTTTCATGGACAAACAAGGTTTAAGCTGCAGCTACAGAAATAAGCCATGTCTATACTAGTTTTCACCACCATATGTTGGCTGTTACCATGGTGATCATAGCCTGCATGTAAGAGAGCGGGAGAATGAGAGCATAAACTGTTTTATAGAATGAAATGAAAACAATCACAATGGCAAAGCTTGGTAGGTGATGGTTAAATATTTTTTTTTTTGTTCTTGGACCACTTCCACTTTTATTATCCCTGTCGAATTAGTTGTGAAGACTGATAGAAGAAGACTGGTTTCTGTTTTGGGATTAAATTGCGAATTAATTGTGGTGTTTTCAGAGTACATATACCCTCCCAGAAGAACATTTTCAATACAAATCCACTAGTTGGTATAGCCGAATTATTAACGAAATTTGTCGGAAAGTTAACGACGAAGGCATATTTAAAATGACTAAAACAAGAAATTGTTTTAAGTTAAGCATTTTTATAGCATATTTTTGGGAGATCCAAAGGATTTTTATACGCTCAGCCATATGACTAGAGAGGGTAAATATCATTTGATACGGCCAAAACGTGCCTCATCGAAATTACGTTTTTAGACCTTAGGTTCCGTCCCCTTGGGCCAGGACATTTGGAGTCGATTTAGCGATGTCCGCCCGTCTGTCTGCGCACCAAATAACTCTCGAATAGAGTATCCGATTAAGTCCAAACTTGGTACATAGCAATATTATTATCAAACCTAGATATCGGTCCACTCCTACTGCTACCTCCCAAACAAAAGGTCGAAAATTTAAAAAAAAAAAAAAAATACTGCACAGAAAGAGAAAGGGTGATTCGATTTTGCCTCAACTTTGCAAATCCTTATATTTACGTCAGTACTACGCCAGGTGCGAAAATGGACAATACCGGTGCACTCCATCAAGTACCTCCCCCACAATGGGTCAACATTTTGAATAATTATAACTCTCATAAAATGTGATGTAAGTGTCCGATTGTCTTTAAATTACACACATTCTAATATTTTTACTAACCCAATACCTGGTGTGAAAATGGAATATATCGGTCCACTCTTTCTGGTACCTCCCTCACAAAGGGTCAAAATTTTGAATATTCTTGAAGCTCATAAAACACGAAATTAACATCCGATTCCATTCAGACTTGACACATCTTAATATTTTTATCAACACAAGATATGTTGTGAAGATTGTGGATATCGGACCATTCCTTTGTGTACCTCCCCCACAAAGGGTCGATGTTTTGAATAACCAAAACGTTCATAAAATCCGAAATAAGTATCCGGTTCTATTCCAATTACACACATCACAATATTTTTATTAACCCAAGGTCTGGTGTGGGAATGGGATATATATGTTCACTCCTTCTGGTAACTCCCCCACTAAGGGTCAAATTTTTGAGTATCATGAAACACGAAATTAAAATCAGATTCCATTCAGACTTGGTACACACAATATTTCCATCAACACAAGATATGTTATAAAAATGGTAGACATCGGACCATCTCCTCTTGTACCTCCCCAACATAGGGTTCAAGCTTTGGAAAAACAAAACGAATATGGAATTTATGATTTTGCATAAAATTGGATATAATTATACGATTTTCTTGTAATTTTGCCCATACCAATATTTTTAACTGCGTTAGATGAAGTATGAATGGAATACTTCGGTCGATCTGGTACCTTACATATCTCATATAAAATGAAGGAAGTAACCAATATAGTCTTAATTTGGCACGTCGCAATATTTGTATCATATTTATTTCCGTTCGATACGAAATGGACAATATTGGTCCATTCCTTCGGAAAGTAATCCATAGAGGGTAAACAATTTGAATAATCATAACAGAACTCAAAATATTTTAAAGTAATCATACATTGGCTGAGGGTGTACATCTGTCGGCATAACTTGTTTTTTTTTAATTTTGGAGAAACTTGAAGTACTCATTGCAGTATAGTCGGTTAAGTTCTACTTCCGAGGGCATTCCTAGCCAATCTTAAAAGTTTGTCCAGGTGAAAAAGCTATGTAGATCATGAACAAAGTGATTTCAGCTACATATATCTGCATTTGTGGTTCCTACTCATGTCACTTAAACATTGAAAGTCCCTTACGGTTATACGGGGGCTATATCAAAAACATGTTCAATTTTGAAAACTTTTTGGGTATGCCATTAATGTTAAATTTCAGACTAAAAAAGATGGTAAAAACCCGCCAAAAATAAAATATGTTTTTTTGCAAGGACATCAGGTACCCTTTTAGAACATCAAATGTAAAATTACCGTCCATTTTAATTAGAAATGTACCTAGAAATGTTCAAATTTCTAAATTTTCAAATGTCTAAATATAAACAACTATTTGTAACATTATTTTTTACTCATTATGAAGCTTCTCAAAAAAACCAGATCGATGTAGAGAAATATTTTTGTCACACTTTGCCAAAATTGTGGAACCACTGTACGCTAGTCTAAACCCCACCCCTTCGATAAGGTACTTTTGTGACAAATTTATTTTGTCTACATATCGTGAACCTTACTTCCACTAAAAATAGAGTAGTAGCAAAACAGTAGCATCAAACCTTTTGAAACACGAACTGAATAGGTATTACAGGTAACAAAACTATTTTATTGCGACAAGGAACTACTTTAATACGTTTAGACAAAAATAAAATTAATTACACCGGAAAAAGTGATGAATAAAACCTGTTTGTAAATCTGTGAATAAAATCCACCGAAAACGGAATTCAGTAAATTTATGGTGTAAAGCTATTACAAATATTGAATTAATATGGAAGTCACGTACTTATTTCCTACAAGTTATTCATGCATAAAAAAGTACTTATATAATTCGTTGTTATTCCATATACAATTCGATTCGATTTTGATTATTGTTTTCAATTCGTTTTCGAGAATACTAAACTGCTGGATGGAGGGAATATTTACTTTGTCATTCCGTTTGTAACTCCTCGAAATACTTATGTCAAACCCATCAAAGTATATCTATTCTTGATCAGTGTAAAATTCTTCTGTCTGTTGTAATCACGCTATCTTTGGAACGAAGTAAGATAGAAGGCTAATATTTTGTACACAAGTGTATTTTGCCTGTATGCAGATTAAGGCAGATAATTCATACAAAACGGCACCTCTAAAATTCGGTATTTTGATAATTTTAGCTACATTTTTATCGTAATTGTTTCAAATTTCGCATTGAAACTTCGTAATAGGTACAACAGCCGCGTATTCGTATAGCTTTCATATAACTATAACTCTCCATTCGGTATTTTGATCATTTTAGCGATATTATTCGCCGGAATTGTTTCAAATTTTGTATTTGAAGTTACTAATGGGTACTGCAAGCAATAACATAAATTTGACTATGCAGATTCTCGTATTCGTATAGGCCGCATATAACGGTACCTTCGGTATTTCGATGATTTTAACGACATTATTTCAAATTTCATATTTGCAGTTCGAAACGGGTACTACTGCCTATGACGAGAAATTGTCTACGCAGGTCCTTCTTATAACGATACCTCGCGATATTCGATATTTTGAGATTTTTTTATCGAATTGCTTCAAATTTCATATTTGAAGTTTAGAACCAGTACTACAGCCTATGGCAAAAATCGCGTATGCAGATCTGCGTATAGCCTCCATATAATGATATCTCCCAATATTCGGTATTTTGATGATTTCAAACACATTTTTATCGAAATTGTTTCTAGTTTCATATTTAAAGTTCTTAATAGGTATTACAGCCTATACCTCGATACCTCCCGATATCCGGTATTTTGGTTGATGACTTTGGATTAAGCGCGAATTTCGTCGCAGATTACAACGCCTACTGGTCAAGCACTGCAAAGCTTAGCCGCTCGCCTCGAAAAAAGTAGCACAATAAAAGATGCTGCCAGGCGTGGCAGACCCCGGAGCATCCGTACTGCAGAGAATATTGCTGCTGTAGCCGAGGATGTCATGGAGGAGCCGTCGACATCGACCAGATGACGTGCCACGCAAATGGGCATAAGTCGACGGTCTTACCAGCGAATTTCGGTACAAGATTTGAAGATGTTTTTGTACAAAAATGGTGCATCAGCAGTTAGCTGCCGACCGCCAATCGCGTCTAACATACGCTAAAGCCATCCTTAATCAGCACCAAGAAGAAGATGATTTTTCATCAAAAATGGCAATGAGTGATGAGGAACATTTGCATAATAGGGGTTACGTAAATAAGCAAAATTTACGCTTCTGGGGCACTAATCCGCGTGTAACCCACGAAGAGCCATAACACCCGCTCAAGGTCACTCTATGATGTACTGTTTTCGCTGACCTCTTTTTGTCGCAACTTGTTGAGTTGGAATTGGAAAACATGTGGTTCCAATAGGACGGTGCAACGGCACACACTGCACGTGCCACAATCGATATGCTGCATGCATGTTTCCGGACGCCCAATCTCCAGTTTTGGGGATTTGCACTGGCCAGGAAGATCGCCAGATTTGACCGTTCCATACTTCTATTTTAAAGTCGCGGGTTTATGTCAACAAGCCTCAGACTATTTCAGCTCTTGAAGGCAAAAATGTGAGGTCCTATCACCGGAAGTTTTGGCCAAAGTGATGCAAAATGCCATAAAAAGGGCTAAAATGACAATAAACACATTAACATGACATCATATTAACGAATTGATGTACAAAACAAGTAAAAAAGCAGGGCCGAACTCCGAATACCCTCCACTATTTGGAACGAGATTTTTTAAAAAATCCGTTAAAAATTCTGTTAAAATCTTAAAAATACCGAATATAGCCGTTAAAATGATGTCTATACGAAGACGTGGACCTGCATAGACAACTTTTGTCATAGCCCCTTACAAAATTCAAATATGAAACTTGAAAAAATCCTGTGAATAATGTAGCTATAGTCATCAAAATACCGCATATAGAGAGGTACCGCTATATGGGGGCTATACGAAGACCTTGACCTGGATAGACGATTTTCTGCCACAGACTGTAGTACCTATTCAGAACTTCAAATACGAAATTTCAAACAATTTGGGTGAATATTGAACAAATGTCAAAATGCCGAATATTGCGAGGTACCGTTATATATAAGCTATACGAAGACGTGGGTCTTCATACACAATTTTTTGTTATAGGCTGCGGTACCCATTACGAACTCTAATTAGGAAATTTGAAACAACTTCGTTAAATAATGTCCCTAAAATCATCAAAATACCGAATATCGGAGGGTACCGTTGTATAAGGGGTTTTACGATATCGTAAACCTATTTAGACAATTCTCTTTCAGGGGGTAAAGTGCATAGAAAGAACTCCTTGTGTGGATTGAAAATCCAATTTCATTGAAAAATTTGGCTACAATCATCAAAATTCCGAATATCGGGGTTACCGTTATATGGGGGTTATATGATATCGTGAACCCATATAGCCCATCTTCAAACTTGATCTGCCTGAAGACAAAAGACAGATCTGTGCAAATTTTAGCTTCCTATATTGACTTTTTGACTCTAGCGTGATTACAACAGACGGATGGACAGGGTAAATCGTCTTAGAATTTAACGCTGACGAACTTAATGCACCCTCCATACTATGTACGGTGACGGGTATAAAAAATTGGGAGCGAGCATTTGGCCATAATAAAAAAATAACAATATTATTGACAACATTGCCCCTCAGCATGTAATTACTCTTTAGAAGACTCATTGACATTCACTTGGGTATATATTCCAGGTGAGAAAATCCCCAGAAAACCCCCCGGGAAACTATCGATGATTTGTGTACCCTTTTTAAAATCTATTAAAATATTAATATTTTTCAGCTAATAAACATCTTGTTTTAATTTAGCTGGCCTATTTTCAAATAACGAAGTACCATTGTTCAAGAAGACCATAGGGCACCACATGTGTAGTTACCTACTCATTGGAATTACCCACATAATTTTGAATTTTTTTTTCTTAAATAACATATCAACCGGGTGAGGAAATAATAAATTCTTAAAAATAAAAACATTTAAGCAAACATGTGCTTAACGTGCGTCAAGAATTTATTTCTGTCATTTTTTGTATAATTTCTCTAAAATTAAAACGACGCAATTTCCGATCGGCTGAGAAACAGCCAATGCAACAGGTTTTATTAAAAAATAAATCGAAAACAAAAACACAAATTGTGTATAATATACCTGTCTTCTGATCGCCGATATCATTTAACAACAGCAATGCAATGCAATCCCCCTCTAAGACCCCATAATAATCGAATTGATTGCAAGGCACCAAAAGGTGAGTCGTAAACAATACAAAACATTGAATAATTGGAACGAAGGACGGGCGGATGAGACGTGCGAAAGTGCAATCGCAGACAGACTCTACTGACAATGACACAAAATTTCGACCGGCATTTTTTATTATTATTGTTTACCTTATCTTTGAAATGCTCGAAGTAAACAAATTCTGCTTTTGGCATGTTTGAGAAATGAATGCGAAAAATGTGATTAGGACATTGCAAATTTTCAAATATTTTGGTTTGAAATTTTTATTTACCACGTAAGTGCACAATGTAATTCCGCCGCTTTTAAAAAAAGTGAATTTTTAAGAGACAACCAAAAAATAAAGAAAATCAGAGGAATTTCAAATGCGTCTAATATCGCCGAGCCCTTTTTGAGATCGTAGAATTGTTGAAAGAAAAGAGTATAAATTTCGCTTGTACACATTTTGGATGATCCATTCATTCTTGTACACTCCAAGAGCTCAGGATTCAATATTTCGTCCGTTCCAGATCTGCAAAAATGTAACATTTTTTACTACGATAACCGATTTTCCCATTATGATATCGGAAAAAATGCAATGCAAATGCAGAGCATATATCTCAGACTTGCTCATAGGGAGAGAGAGAATCAATGATCCTACGTCAGAAAATTTGCAATCAAATTGACTTTGAAACTTAACAATGATATTCATGGCGCCCAAGTTGGGAAGTTGCAAAGCGATGACGTCTGCAACACCACTTATTAATTTCAAATATTTGGAACTAACCCCACTTTCATATTTTTCCGAGAGCTCTGATTTTATACTTTTCCCTACATTTGTAATTATTTTTTTTGAAATTTGACGATTTCTTTAAATTTCTCCTAGAAATTCGACCGATTTTTTCAAAACTTTTTCTTTAAGAATCACTGCACATTTTCCCGCTTTTTCTTTTAGCGTATATCTGAACATACTCATAAAAATCTGCAACAAAATATTCAAACGGAGCGAGTTTGTCTGGAAAGTCTAAAGGTGAGAATATGTAAAACGTGTTTTTGAAGGGCTTAAGTCATCGGCTTGCTTTTTCGTATAGAAATAAATGAGTTTTAGGTTGATTTAGTTCGATTTTGGCCCTACGCTCCTTTGCTATTTTTCGAAGAAGCCAGTCGAAAAAAAAATTTTATGTATTTTCACCTAACACGTTTTTTGGAAAATCTTTTCGATCTCGGTGACCACGTCCAAGCAACTCTTGTACCGAAATCGAAAGGAATTCGGTATCAGAATCGGGAATTTCAGCAGAGATTCGGAATAAAATTTTAGTTGGGAAGCCACGTTTAGCAACCTATTAGGAAGGTTAACATTGATACCCAGGCGACTTAGAACTTAATTGGTAGACTGTAATTCCGCATTTTTATACCCTCCCCCATACATGATATGGATTGTATATTAAGTTTGTCAATCCGTTTGTAACTCATCGAAATAATAATTTTAGACCTAACAAAGTATATATATTTATGGTGAATTTTCAAGACGATTTAGTCCGTTTGTCCGCCTGTTGTAATCACGCTAGAGTCAAAATGAATTAAGATAGGAAGCTAAAATTTTGCACAGAGTAGTCTTTTATCTGCAAGCAGGTCAAGTTTAAGTTTCAAGTTTGGATCCACGATATCATATAGACCCCATAAAACGGTACCTCTCTATATTCGGTATTTTTATGATTTTAGCTGCATTTTTCAATGGAACTGTTTAAAAATCCACACAAGAAGTTCTTCCTAAGCACTTTAACCCTTAGAAGAGAATTGTCTTTATAGGTCAACGATATCGTATAGCTTCCATACAACGGCACCCCCGATATTCGGTATTGTGGTGATATTAGGAACATTACTCACCGGAGTTGTTTCAAATTTCGTAGTTGTTTAATTTCGACAAATCAGCTGATTGCTTGCACGTTTTTACAAGGATGCTGTTTTTTACCTTTTACACTTTTCTTGAAAAAGAGAATAGAACCACCTTTCTCTCTGACAAAGAAGTTGCTGGACAATCTTGGAAGAAAATGTAACCAGACATACGCCATGGCAAAATTTGTTTTATCCTGGTGCGCATTTTCCATCTGTCCAGCAAAAATCTTTTCTTTTGTATTTATCAAAATCATGAAAATATGTCATCTGTTGGTAAGAGCATTTCTACGATTCTCTCTAGTTTTTCATAAACGAAGCCTCAATCTTTCTCTCATCTTAAGAAAATGTAAACAATAAAATGCTGTATAACTATATTAGGGATATGTAGGTTTTAAAATTATTTAATATTTTTGATTGAATAAAAATCTAAAACTTAAAACCACGTAGGATTGTTTTTCTTTTGACACAAAAAAACAGACGGAGCCAAAGCTTTTAGCAACCATTCACAATAACACCTAACTGGTGAGTTTTACACAAATTGTTGCTTTCATTCATCCCCCCAAAAAAGTCTGGCCATATTCAACGAACAAAGCAATCATCTGTGAGTCATCCACACACATTGTCGCTGTTGGCAACCCTACCAACACAACAAAACAAACTTTAAATTGGATAGATTGGAAGAAAGTACCAGCGTTAAGAAAAAAATCTCAAATAAATTAAAAGCAATTTAATTACCGATCCCAGAAAATGATTTCCCTTGGTGGTTCCGATTTCATACAAATCAACGTCACAAATTCCAAAACCGATCATGTTGCCTTCGACATTAAATTTGCCAAATCGCTAACAGTTGCTGAGCTCAAGCAGAAATTGCAAGTGATTACTGGTGGAAATGCCGGTACCATGAAGGTGGAACTATATAAGGGAGGCGAGTTGGTGACGTCACTTGGCGATGACTCGATGATGCTGGGAGCTTTGCCAATTGAACCCAATATGCGGTTTCATGTGGTCGATGATTTTATCCTCTTCGATATGCACGATGGTGAAGAGGTGAAAAAATTCGAATTGCCCGAAGATGAGTATGACAAGAAGGATAACACTGTGCGAAGTTTCCTGAAAAAGAATCAAATGGGCAAATACAATGAAGAGGAACAGAAAAGGGAGGAGGCGAAGCGTTTGGAGAAGGAAGCTTTGGAGAAACAAAAGGCTGAACAATGTACAGTGGGATCACGTTGCCAGGTAACCCTCAAAGGGTGTCCCACCCGTCGTGGAACCGTTATGTACAACGGTCCATTGGAGGGCAAGAATGGTGTGTTTATTGGTGTCAAATACGACGAGCCATTGGGTAAAAATGATGGTTCCGTACAGGGTAAACGTTACTTTACCTGTCCCCCCAATTATGGTGGGTTTGTTTCACCACTCTGGGTGGAAGTTGGAGATTTTCCCGAGGAAGATTTTAACTTGGAAGATGAAATCTAAAAAAAGCAAAACAAATGGCACAATCTTTAAGGATTATGGAACAACTCATTAAGCTTAGTGTGAGACATATTAAGAACAGCAATATAATAATTTTATTTCCATTCCCCCCATTACTAGGTATTTAAAGCAAATTTATCTGCGTATTTTGCATTTCTTCGTTTGTTAATAAAAAAACAACAGCCTTTAAATTTAATTTCAATTTTACTGATAAGTTCTTATTTATAAAAAGATTTAATAATATTTTTTATACAAAAAACAAAAGAATCATAGTCATGAATCGAATAAAGAATTTTTAATCGATAAATTTCATTTTTTAATTTCGAAATTTAAACAAAAGATCTTCTGACCACAACAATAAGCAAAACAAATTTGCATTGGTCCCTTAGGGTGATGTAAAGGTTACGGATGCTATGATTATATGGGTGGAACGTGGCTTTTTATACCCTCCACCTTGGAAAGGAGGGTATATTAACTTTGTCATTCCGTTTGTAACATCCCTTAATATTCGTCGTAGATCCCATAAAGTATATATATTCATCAGCATAAAATTTTAAGTCAATTTAACTATTTCCGTCAGTCTGTTTGTTGAAATCACGATTGTGTCTAGAATGGTTGGTATCAAAAATGAGATATATCGGTTCACATTTTAGTATAGTCTCCATATATATACCGATATCCGGTATTTTGATGTTCGGTATTTCAATGATTTTTGCACGATTTATCAAAAAATTGGTATATGTAGTTCCTAAAGGATTCAAACTCCTATGGCGGAACATTGTATGTATAGGTCCAGACTTTCGCATAGCCCCCATATAACGGTACCTCCCGACATTGGGTATATTAATGATTTTCGCAACGGATTTGTCTAAAAATTGGTATTTGTAGTTCGCAATGCGTTCCAGCTTCGGTGACGAAACACTGTATGTATAGGTCTGTGTTTTTGTATAATCCCCATATAACGGTAACTCCTTATATTCGGTATTTCAATTATTTTTGCCACATTTTTCCACGGAATTGTCTAAAAACTGGTATTTGTATTTCGTAATTAGTTCTATCTCCGGTGGTGGAACATAGTATATATAAGTCCACGTTTTTGTATAGCCCCCATATAACGGAACCTCACGATATTCAGTACTTTAATGATTTTTGCCAAATATTCCCACAGATTTGACTAAAAATCTATCTCCGTTGGCAGAACATTGAATAGTTAGGTCCACGTTTTCCTATAGCGGACATACAACGCTACCCACCGATATTTGGTATTTTAATAATCCTAATCACATTTACAGACGAAATTGTTTCAAATTTGGTATTTAAGAAGATTTGGTAGATTACAATCCCGGGAGGAATAAAATTGTGTATAGAGATTTTCGTTTTGGTGTGGCCCTCACCCATTTTATGTTTTTTTTGAAAAGTTTAACTGAATTATCCAAACGGTCTTACTGCTATTTGTGGTTTGTAGTGGAACATGTTTGAATTCAGATATTGTTTTATAAAAATGTTTTCTTTACCCAATTATGGAGAGTATTAAAAGTTAGGCCCGGGCGAACTTAATGTTTTTTACTTGTTACTTCTTGATAATATTTCTTTTTTTTAAATTGACAATTGGAAATAGATATATTTATTTGATCTTTTATAGGATCTACCTATTCAAGTCAATAAATTTCTCATTGGATTGAAATATAAATATAAAATCGATTGAATATTATATTAGATACACACTTAATATTATTGGTATTGATATAAATCTCTAATTTTAAAATCTTTTAAAAATTTGCTATGCCTCCCATATAAACAGTGCCAGCTAAAACTCAGAGAAACCTCTGGTTCGTCATTCGTAGATAAATTTGTTACATTGGTAATTATCTACTCTCTTGGGTCTTGTAATACCATTTCATTTTAAGCAAAGAAACTCATTCAACTCGGAACGAAAAAAAAGATAAGGTACAAATCAATAGCAGTGGAAAATTTTTAAATATTTTGTTATATTGAGGGTCAGCCATGCCAACACCCCATGTGTGTCTTTATTAAGGTCACGATTGATTTTTTTTTTTTCATTTCGTACAAATACAGTTGGTACCAAAACAAAGTTTTAATTTAATAATTTCCATTTCCTAAGACTGATAAAATATTACAACGGCCCAGATTTAAACTATATCGACTACTTCCTATACTTTATATTATGTGCAAATTTTTGTAAATATCCGTAAGGTAACAGATATAGCGGACCGAAGAACTCCATTTTCATACTTCATCTAATACAGATACAAATATTGGTATGTACAAAATTTGAAGGAAATGGAACATTTACATACAATTTTATGCGAAATCATAAATTTCATAGGTGGTTGAGATAAATATTTAGATATAGCAAGTTGTAAAGAATCACCGATTTGTTTCGCAAGTTATGACAGATATAAGTATTGGAAATTGTGACCCTTCGTGGGTGAGGTGTGGTTAAAACACAATTTATTATAAAAATATTAATAATTATTTATTTTTAATAAAAACCAACTTCGTTAGTTGAAAATATTTTTAAGAATGAAAAAATGTGTATTACATGAATTCAAAATATGTATAAACCAAAACCTAAGGCTACATAGTTTCAATTAAAAAGCAAAGTTAAATGTTCAAAGTAAATATGGGAAAACCCCTACAACACTCCCCCCTGAATTTAAACTAAATTTAGCAAACCAATTATATATCATATTCAGTATATACTGCTTTAAGTCGGTTTATGGAAACGTTTTGCAATTTGTCGTTTATCTTAACTTGGAAATATTTCGGGGTTCGTTTGCAGATTTCATATGGGCCGGTGTATTTCTGTCCTAAAGATTTTGTTTTTGCATCAACTCGAATCCAAACATGAGTGCATGTTAAGAGGTTCTTGCTAATAAAAGGTTTGTTGTTCGAATGCATTGATGTTGGTGTTGGCTGCAAATCACACATGGATTTCCGAAGAGTGGTTACTAGGGAACTAGGATCTTCAAATTTCGGAACTGTGAAGAAATCTCCTGGTATTTTGAGGGATTGACCATAGACCAATTCTGCAACCGATGCTTTTAAATCTTCTTTGTAACTAGCACGTATTCCGAGTAGTACTGGATAAAGTGAAACTGTCCATTGATTGTTTTCAGAGCATCGTAGACCCGCCTTTAATGTCCTGTGGAATCTCTCCAGCAACCCGTTACTTTGTGGGTGATAAGATGTTGAAAAACGATGTTGTATACCGAGTGATGTTGTTAATTGTTTCATAAGACTAGATAAAAATTGGCTTCCTCTATCTGAAATTAAAGCATTCGGACAACCAAATCTACATATCCATCCGTTCCAAAATGTTTTGCAAATTGTTTCCGCCCTAATATCAGGGATCGGAAATGCTTCTGGCCATCGAGTAAAACGATCCATACACGTTAACAAGTATGTATTACCCTCAGATTGTGGTAATGGTCCAACTATGTCTATGTGTACCTCTGAAAAACGGCTGCTTTCAATTGGAATATTCATAGTTGGACTCGAAGTATGTCTGTCAATTTTATTGCGTTGACATGGTAAACAGCTTCGAACCATATTGCCAACATCCTTATTCATGGATGGCCAAAAAAATCGTTGCGATATCATCTTTCTCGTTGTCCGAATACCACCATGAGATAAATTATGTACTGCATTGAAGACATCTTTTCTAAAAGTAGATGGAATATAAGGTCGTATAGTTCCTTGAGAAACATCACAATATATTTGATAATTCCCCAATGGAAAATTTAGCAACTTAATTGAATAAGGTCCATCCTTATTAATTAATTCCTTAATTTCTATGTCTTGCTGCTGTTGTTGACACAATTTGCTATAATCTATTCCTTTCGTACTGATTTCTTCTATTCTTGAAAGAGAATCAGCTACTATATTCTCTTTTCCAGCGATGTGGTTAATATCAGTGGAAAACTGCGCTATATAATCCAGATGACGGCATTGCCGAGGTGAGGCCTTGTCCAAATTTTGATGGAATGCGTAAATGAGAGGCTTATGATCCGTGAATATTTTAAATGGCCTTCCCTCAAGTAAATGTCGAAAGTACTTGATAGCGGAATATATGGCTAATAATTCTCGATCATAAGTACTATACTTCTTCTGAGCGTCATTTAGTTTTTTAGAGAAAAATCCCAATGGTTGCCATGAACCGTTTACATTTTGTTCAAGCACAGCACCCATTCCAAAAGAACTCGCATCGACTTTAAGGCCTATTGTTGCGTTCGGCAAAGGAAAAGACAAAGTAGTTGCATCGGCTAACTCCTGTTTACATTTAATGAAGGCTTCCCGGGTTTCGTTAGTCCATGGAACTGGACGCATATCCTTCTTTTTTGCACCGATCAATAAACTATTCAGAGGCGCCTGTGTTTCGGCTCCTTTTGGTAAAAACTTCCGATAAAAATTGATTAGTGCCAAAAATTGACGAAGTGAATGGATTGTTGATGGTTGATTGTAACTCAGAACTGCTTCAACCTTTTTCTTCATTGGACTGACGCCTTTATATGATATTGTATGGCCTAAAAAATCAATTTCGTTCACACCAAGTTCACACTTACCGGCATTTATAATAATGCCGTACTTCTTAAAACTGCTTAATATGTTCCAAATGTTCTTCTTCAGATTTGGAGAAAACTAGCACATCATCCAGATATACTACGACGAAATCAAGGCCTCTAACAACTTCATCCATAAAACGCTGAAAAGTCTGCGCCGCGTTACATAACCCGAATGGCATTCTTAAGAATTCGAACAGACCAAACGGAGTTATGACAGCAGTTTTTGGAATGTCCGCTTGATTTACTGGTATCTGGTAATAAGCTTTCAGCAAGTCAAATTTTGAAAATACAGTGGAACCAGATAATAACATGGAAAAATCGTTAAGGTATGGTATAGGGTAACTATCTGGGACAGTTATTTTGTTCAGTGCCCTATAGTCCCCACAAGGACGCCAAGAACCATCCGATTTGCGGACCATATGTAATGGATTGGACCAATTACTATTACTGGGACGAATAATACCTTTTTCCATAAGATACTGAAACTCAACCTTTGCAGCAGCTAATTTCTCAGGATCTAATCTTCGGGGCCTTGCCTTAACTGGGTTTCCGTTAGTAGTAATTTGATGTAACACTTGGTGTTGGACATCTATTTTGTTAAGGTTATGCGAAAGTAATTCAGGATATTGTTTTACA